AAGGGTTTTGAAAAAGAATTCTGATTATGGTTTTGAAAGGCTAAATTTAATGCAACAAATTAAATGAGAGAAGGGACCACGGGACTACCAGTCCGGTTGGTACCGAAAAAAAAAAAAGTTACGGATTCAAGGCCTAAATTGAGACAAGTTGTTTGGTCAATCGAAATAAAAAATTAAGAATCACATTGTTTGAAGGCAGATTCGGCAATTTTGTTTGACGGGGCAACCAATAATATGATAAGAAATTTTGAACTAAAATTAAAATACACGGAGGGTTTTTTTTTGAAATTTTTATTCTTAAGATTTTGCGAAGCCTGTGAAAGGAGAAAAAACGTGGGTCTTTTCTGAAATTTGAAAAAAATTGTTGAGAAATTGAGAGGTCATTGTGAATTTTGGATTTATTTTTAGGGATTTTTTGTAAATTGTTTAGGAGCCTCAAGCAAAATGAGGATTGAACATTTTCTCAATTAACTACACCACCACAAATTAAAACCAGCAGGTTTCGCAATAGTCACAGCTTCTGGGCAGCTTTTATAATTATTAAGATTTGTATATAGAAAATATAAAAAAACAAAAATTTAATAGCGAGTGAAGAGTGTTTTCTAAATTTGATTCTTTAAGCCTAGGTCTTTTTTATTTTTGAAAAACTTGTTGGGCAAATGAACTAAAAAAATGAGGGACTTTTTTCTTAAGAACTTTTATGAATATTTTAAAAGTTTAGTGGGATACTTTTATAAATTATAAAAACTTATGTATAAAAAATACAAAACTAAAGTTAGAAAAAAAAATTATTATAGTAATGCTATAACTCGACCAACCTTCAATCTTCTTGTAAGATTACACATAATGATAACCTTAATATAATGATAAGTAATATCCTTCCAACTAATAGCTATATTTTTTGCATGTTTAACTTTCTTTAGAAATGTTTGTTCATTAGTGTTAGTTTTGCTAACATAAAAAATAGACAAGAGAAAAGAATACGAGTATATCGGAGCGAGTTTGGGTGAATGGAAGAAGCTAACGAGTTGTAGCCTCTTATATAAGCTGAAGACGTTACAACCAACTACTAATAATATTCTAAAATACTTCACAAAGATATATGATATATACAAGTTACCAAGAATTCTAAAAAGTTATTTTCTCATACCCAAAAAAATATATATATATCGATCACATGAATGTCTGCATGCCATTACCATTTCAAGGGCTCCTATAGAATTCTCTACAAATCTTTACATAGTTCTAAAATATTGCACAAAGAAATCTTAATATTTACATGTTGCTAAATCTTTTTTAGAGACTTTTAGGTTAAGTTACACAATTCTTCACAAATATTCAAGCCCTCCACACTTAGGAAGGGCACCTACTTGGCGTTTGCATGACGCAACCTTCAATTTTAACATAATGAAGCAGTGGGTGAAGATTTGGACTGAAATAAATAAGTGAATTTGTCTCGATAAAGATTACGAGTGAAATAAAAACCGCGCCCTTCCGCTCGTAAGATAATTTATTTTTTTTATTATTTTTTTTTTTTCAAGTCATTGGATGCCACTTTTGAGCATATTTTGTGCCTTTTTTCTTTCTTTCCTCACAATTCCATTTATTTATGTTTCAATATTTGAATTTACCGGGAAAAAAGAGAGAGATTTCATGTTGGACTTGCGAGATTTTATATTAAAAAGATGTTTTGTAGCTTTTGATTAATCAATGATTATGTAAACTATAATCACAATTTGAGCCATGCTATTGGGAGAGCGACCAGAGAAGGTGGAAAACTCATTGAGCAGTTGATTATAAGTAAAAAAAATTCCAATACCAAATGTCTTCAAATCCTTAAAAACGTCTCTAGCTTACGGTATTCAAAATTGATAAGAATGCACAAGAACCTCTCTAGCCTATGATAATTAGAAGGTTACTAATATCTTTTCATAAAAGAAAAGGACAAATGTTAATGGAAAGGAGCAGTGAGGGACTTAGAAAATTGTATAAGAGGGGTGGCCCTGATCAACAATCATAGTGGGATCATTAAAAATTGAGTGAGCATTCTTAAAATTTTCAAGAAAATTGAGAAACTTTTAAGATTTTCACAAAATTTGTAGGTAATTTTGTAAATAAAAAAATTCAGTGGGCAACTGCCCCATTGAGCCTTTCATGGGTCCGTGCCGGGAGGAGGTTGAGCACACACACGAAACGGGTGACGAAAAATATCTTTTTTCAGATAACATATTTTTTAAATTTATTTTTCGGTATTTAGCAAATGTTCAAGTGGAGATTGAAGCCGATTCCTTTATATGGGGTGTAAAAAATAACTTATCAAAAATTGATAGGTAAGTTATTTTTGTTATGTTTTATTTGTTATTTATTTATTTATTTATTTTTTGAAAATATTTTATGATAATCAAACACCAAAATATATATATATATATATATATATATATTACATGGGAGTTCTAGCCGAACAAGGGAAACTGGAAGCATTACCTGGGCCGGTGTTTGGCATGGTACCGGATCAAGGATTGAATCTGCTTTAATACCGACTATAACAGGTCGAGTACTTCGCGATTTAAGTTTAACACAAAAGCTTAAGTTATTAGGTGAGCTTAACACCCAACCAGTATATACACATCCACTTTCCTATCCGAATCCGATCCGAATCGAATGCGAGACAAATCTCCACTTGTAACACACGGCTACTACAGTGCACCTACCTTGTTCCCTCAAACTTAAAACAGCTTATCATCTATTCCACAGCACCAACAATTAATAATGGAGCTATAGTTTAAGACATTTTTTTCCTCAACTTGCAAACTCAATTACTTTTTAGCATCTGAATCTCACCGTTTGAAGCCATATTTTCAGGCACAACTAATGGTACTAGTCTTTGAGGACTCTAGAGCAGATCCTAGTAGATCAAACCAAATCCATTAAACTGTGATTTGTTTTTATATATCACAAATCACAACCCCAAGTGTCTACCTCTATCACATGTTACCTTCTTCACCACCCCTTAAATGTGCCAATTGTCTTGACAGAGTCGGAGGCAGTCACCAAACTGGAAATTCATATAAACAATCATCTTCAACATAGCTCTGTCTATCTATTTGCTTCTTCAATGGAAGTTGTTTCTTCAAAAAGAAGAAGAAATACCTGTAGCAGTTTATACCAACTACTGCTCTTTTCAAATTTTCTTATTGTCTTCCCAACAACGAGTTATGAGAATTCAAATGCCAAAATTTTCACCTACCAACATGGCTCTGTGTCTTTAAAGTGTTTCCAATTTGTCATGTTACAATACTCATAAAAGAGTTTTTATGATTCATTGCATGAAATGACAAAAATAATAATAATAAGGGCGGTGCTACACGACCCGATCACTATTCACCCGACACCAACCGACTATCATACGTGGCTGTCCAACGTGGCAATTTTCCTTTTTTTTTTTTTTTTTTGAACCAGATGCACCTTCTCTCTCCCTCCTCTCTTTCTCTCTCTAACAATCGAGGGCAAACCTATCTTTCCGGCGAACATTCTGCGACCACCGGTGAACCCATCTTCTCCATCAAAACTATCTTTATCCCTCTCCAATAAATTCTCTCTCTCGAAACCAGTACATGAAACGAAGACCCATTTTCATTGTCAGAAAAAAAAAATACAGAGTCAGTTTCTCAAACCCTTGATGAAATTGGGGGCGATCGATCTCCATATACAAATCCAAAGAGCTCAATCCATCACCCTCCATGGCCTCCACTTCAATCTCACCTCAACAACCCAACCAAAAACAAACCCATTGAGGCAAGCATATATATATATATATAGATATTTGTAATTACCTAAAAAAATATAGAGATTTGTTGTGCATCTATTTTATCATGTAGATAGAGAGTGAGCAGAGAGAGGGGTTTGGTAATATTGCTGATGCGTCTTTTGGGTTCTTATTTGGTTTTCAAGGTCACATTCAAGATACAGAGAAACCATTGATGGTGGTGGAGGTTTTTTTTTTTTTTTATTTTGATAAATTGTATGCAACTAATAGAATAAATCAGAGAATCAGAAAAAACAAAAAAAAAAAACACAAAATGAAAACAACGACAGATGGAAGATCACTGGAAAACATAGGCAGATGAAGGAGCGCGTGGGCGCGTGAAGGGCGAGTCAGATTACTCGCAGGAGCGTGGGCTTTTTCTGTGTGAAGATGCAGAGAGCAGCGGCAGAAGTCAGTGACGGTTGAGGGTGGTGTTGACGATGTAGAGAGCAGCGGCAAAGCATGGCCTTTAGATGCAGAGTTTTTGAGACGCCGGCCGGCCAGGGAGCTTCAACCCAGTCATAACCAAATCGCTAGAGAACAATCGTCGCCGTCCCGTGGGTTCAGCCTTGCTTGCCAATGGCGACCACCCAAACAAGCAGAACACCAACGAAATACAGTCACTCATTGAAATCGCCGTTTACATCGGTTAATCCGTTGAACCGAGCTATCCGTCTGGACTCATCCGGACCGAGGTCGGCGGCGGTGGAGCGGTCTGGAGGGAGGAAGGAGAAGCGACAGAGGGGAAAGTTACGTGAAGAAAAGGCAAAAAAGTCACTGCCTAGTTGTACCAATCTACATTTGACAAGTGTGTGTCGGTTTCTTTCGGGTGAACAGTAGTCAGGTCTTTTAACATTTGTCTAATAATAATAATAATACTCACTTAATGTCTTCTCATTAATTAAAACACCATAAAATGAAATAAGGCATATACTTGATCCGTGTAGTTTATTTTTGATAGATATAATTGAATAGTTAAAACTGAAATCTGTCTATCAAAATCCTCCATGCTACGAATTACATAACAAATGATGAATTACTCATCGATGAGACCTTTTGATCCATGTGATGAGATGACATGAAATGGATTCAGAATGAATTTTGTTATGCTCACAGCATGAGATGAAGGTAGGTAATTGCTACACTGCATTTAAAGAAACGAGCACTGGATAATCTATTTAGTCAGCACTGGATAGATGAAACTAGAAAATAAAATTAGATAAACAGTAGAGACAAGTCTGTATAACAGTAACATAATCTCATCAAAACTGTAGAAGTTCTAACACTGCAAAAACTGATGTGTCCGAAGAAAAAAGGCATACAAATTTCTTAATTCAGAAACATAGACAAAAGCCACAAGGAGGTTAAACATACACTATGGTAATTGAACTCCTTTAAGTGTCTATTTACCACTCACCTATAGCCAATCAAAACAAGTAACAAACAGTCCAAACCCATGTTACATCAATTTATGTGACCCATGAGCTTAGAATCTTCACCGAACTATTGCCTCGTCCCAATTTCAAGATAATCCATGCATGTGACCATCCAGCTTGCTACCATGCATGTGAAGCTCCAGCTCACCACCATTTATACACGACGTTTCTTTGGTCGTCGGCACCCATTATGGGGAAGTCGCGTTGTGTCCTCGAGGTATACGATTGGATTCTGATCTCCTCGACCATGGGTATAGCCCTCCCGGAAGCTCAAGATTGCTTGCTTTTTCTTCTTAAAATAAGTAAACCCACTCACTTTTACAACAACCGACTTTACTCCCATACTCCTTGCGATTCGTCCAACCTGTTCTGCAGTTGCCTCACCAGAAAATCGACCCGATGATTTAGTACCTTCTTTCTGTTCCAATAATCCTACAGTAGACTTAGCCTTTGTGTTACCCTCAGAATCAGTCAGAGTAACAAAGGTATTGTTGCGCAATATCTTGATATGGACAATGTCTGCATTTTGATCAGCATGATTTCGAGGATCCCCCCTGCCGTCCTTCCCATCTTCATCCATAATTCCTCGCACGAAGTCCATGGATCTAGTATTCTTGCCCATCTCAGCTTCCTTCCGACTCTCAGAATGTATAAAACTTCTAAAACTCACAGCAGATGGTGGAAAGACATTCTCCTTTGCTTTCATAAAACCCAACTTCATACCAAAATCTCCCAAAAAATGGGATCCAGCTTTTGAATCTCCTCCCAACACATCAGCAGCATGATGACGAGAGCCACCTTTCAATTTCTCTACACAACCTGCAAATGCCAGGCATATTCTATAGATAACAATGATAATACTACAGTTAAGCAGACACATTATATAATTTGGTAATTATCCACTTTTTTTTTCACCATTTGTTTATGTAAGGTTTCTCAATAAACTCATTCGCTTCTAAATTGTTTCTCGCACACGCACACACATGCACAACCTTTTCTCATCCTCTACATTACTGCCCATAAAACAATGTTAATGGAAGATTCCCAATAATCCCTTTCATTCAGGAAAACACACATTATTACACCCACCAATCAATTATTTCCATTAAAGAACTAAATTGACATGGAAAACATTTACTCTGGTGGAGCCAATAGGGGCAATTCTTGGGCTGATTTGTCATCTCATTTGAGAGCCCAATTTAACCATATATTGGAAATGAAATCCAACAACCTGATATACATAGATATATAAGACATTTTATTTGAAATATATATTTGCCTAGATATATAACACATCAATCGTATGAAGTTAGCAAACTGTGGCAGAGTATTGAGTTATGTTGGGGGATCTAATAAATGGCAATTAACTCCCCAAATGTTGATCACATACCAACAACAAAGCCACCTCTATTTTGATCATCGTTGGGGTTGGCGGATTGAAAGTTCACAATCACACACAAAAAATTGATTTACCAGAAGAAAGAGGGTATATGGCATGGCTTGAAAGTTGCCAAAAGGGAGCCTAGGAAATAATCTGTTGAGAAATGTGCACTAACTATTAATTCAACTTTTGTGTTGTAAATTTGGGGAAAAAGAGGAAAATCAGGAATTTGTTTCAGGTTTATTCAGACAACAATGTGAAGATATCAATTGGGACTGAATCAGGATAATATAACCGTACATAAAATTACTCAAATTTCGATAAGCATCTTCCTTTCCTATTTTGTCCAGAAAAATCAATGAAGCTAGTGCGTTATCCCAACTACTTGGACTGAAATTATAATTCTTTTTCTGTTAAGGTACAGAAATGAGTGAAAATCTAGATTGCTAAATATGAATCAAATTTTAGCAGTACTACAAGGTGGGCATGCTGAAAAAATTCCCTTAAAAATTTACAAATTAGATCCTTCAATTGTTCAAATTTGAAAATGAAATGGACATACACTATATTCACCAATTACCTACCTAGGGTTTCTTGAGAATCTCATACATTTCGGCAGCAAGAAACCATTTAGATCCTCCAAAAATTAACCAAATAGAGCATAAGCCCATATACAACTCACCCTCAAGAAAATTTTCCAGCAACATTTCTCTATCAAAACAAACGGAACAGAAGCCAAAACAGGATATACATACATATATATATATATGATTAGACAAATGCATACATAATTGTAAAAGTTAAACGAAACAGTAACTTGCCTGGGAAAGCATTGGAGTGTTGTGAGCTGTGAGAGAGGGACTTCGCTGAGAGATGAGAGTTATTGGACGCACACAAGGGCGCATTGAAGGGGCGATCAGAAATGGGATCGAAGATCCGAAGAGCTTGATTGAAAAGACTGGCCTGGCCAGAGGATCGAAAGATGGATCGTTGGGCGATCATGGTCTTCTTAGATTAGGGTTTTGGTCAGGGCCGCCCTGAGATTCCAAATATTTTGAGAGGCCCTAGGCAAACTTTCAAATGTGAGGCCCTTAAGTTTCACACGCACAAAAAATATTATAAGAGTGCGGAATTTTCATACGATGTTTTCAAATTCTATAACTAATTTAATTGTGGACATGTGCATTATGCATAAGACAACTAACTAATAACTATAATCTTCATTCATTAAATCTTCACGTTCATTGACCAACTTCCTATGATCTTCATTCATTAAATCTTCATGTTTATTGAGATTTTCTTCATTTGCTTTTGCATTCAAATGTTCTTCATTCACCAAATCTTCAACTAAACTCTCTATTTGTGTATTGCTCCTAAAAAACTTAAGATTATCTCCTTTTTGAGATTGAATCAATTCTTCTTCTCTCTTCTTCTTTTTTTTTTTTTTTTTTTTCATGCCCAAATTCAAATTTTCTTGTAGACATAATGAAATCTCTTGAAATCTAAATAACAGGAACCATAATCAACATAAAACTAGACTTCAAAAAAATAATAATAATAATAATTTGCTTTGTTTAAAGAAAATATACATTACCTCAATATGCAATGATTTGATTCAAGTTCAAGGCAAATAACCTCACGAGATCCTAAGAAGAGTGTCCTGCTAGCATCTGAAAGAAGATCACAATTAACATAAAACAGATGGAGAATCAAACAGAAACAATAATAACTAAACATTGCCAATCATACAATAAATATAATAAAAAAAATCTAAAATCAAGCAGTTTGGTCGAATGATCTCCTGGCTGGAGTTTTCACTGGAATCTGAAGGAGAGGAGAGAAGACAAAACAGAGTATCCAAAATACAGTCCAAAAGTGGAAATGGGGAACAGAAAACTGCAGCTTCTTTTTTACATTCATTGTTTATATAGCTGCTAAAATTTGATGACTACAGATGACAAAAATATGTGGAGATGAGGTGACTATATATATAGGAGGCTGAACTTGTAGTGCTGAAGAAGTAGTGGGACTTTTAGGTTATATATGGGCCATGTGGCATCCACTATCATATATAGTTTTTGTCTTTCACTCTTTATATTAACTACACTTTGTGTTTTTTTTTTTTTTTTTTGGGAGCCAATTACCCCTTTCTTGATTTCAGGATGAGGAATCAACTTTAGTAGCAGTGATTGACAGAAGACCTGTGCAAATTAATAGAAAAAACCATTAACTTTTGTTTTGTTAAAGCCTGCTCTTGATTTCCATGTGTTTGTACATTCTGATGGCAAGTGCTTTGATAGTATTATTAACTGAAATTCTAGCTGAGCCAACTTCAAATAACATCAATAATGTTGGTATGTATCTTCATAGAAAAATAAAATATAAAAAAACCCTTAATTTGGCACTTTTAAGTCTGAGCATAATTTAGAGATCGAAAAAGTTAATTATTACCTCAACGGCTCAACCCACTAGAAGGGATCCCTAATTTTCGTAGGATTGAAAGTGAAAATGCAAAAACTTATGAGGAAAATGGGTATGATTGCTGCTGTTGTGAGATTGGAATGGAATTAGGGAGAGGAAAAAAAAAAAAAAGTTGCCTGCCATAGATTATGGACTCGATCGGCATGAAAGACACATGTAGAAAGGCACACATTTATTAAAATACTAAGAGAATCATAATATATTCATTCAGCTTTTGATAGCCATCACACACAGTGACACACACACAAAAAAAACCCTAGTTTGGAAGCTACTTTTCACTATTGGAACAAAGGTAAAGGCCCGAATCAAACGAACCAAAGTTAGAACAAATCAAATGATGAGATGAACGAAAGATAGAAACATTTATAAAAGATCGATTCGTGCAAAAGGCGAGAGGAGAGAAAGAGGACGAACATACCTTGTCACCTGAGGCGATAGCGGAGGCTGCGTCCTGCGGAGTGTCGAAGCAGATTGTGTCGTCTGAAACTTGCCCTAACTTAATAGTCCGTACTTTTTTTTTTTGTCCATCCCCTATGGGCCTCAAAATTTGAGGCCAAGGCGACCAAGACTTGTCCAAACTTAATTTTTTTTTTTACATCCTCTATGGGCCTTAAAATTTTGAGGCCCTATAAAATTTGAGGCCCAGGGACCGCCTTTCTCTCCTTGGGCCAGGGCCGGCCATGGGTTTGGTGGTTTTTGAATTTTTGCTTCTGAAGCAGCAGCGACGAAACTCTCTCTCTCTAAAGTGTGAGCTACAGAGTGAAGCCGTTGTTATTGAAGATATTGCTCTCCTCTTGAAGGCCCATCCCAGTTTTCAGTTGGACTGGGCTTCTGAATCTGCTAATAGACTGGCCCATATCTCAAAGGGCTGTGTGAAATCTCTCCTTTGATTAAACAACCACAACCACCACCACACAGACCATTATGTCAATGGGCTGTGTGAAATCTCTCCTCTGATTAAACAACCACAACCACCACCACCACCACCATTGCCAAACCACCACCACCATTACAGGAAATTTTTAATGAATTTTTGTTGATGGAATCCCGCCTATTTTTAGGGAATGGGCTTGAGATTTAATTTGTATCCACATTGGGCCAATCTTTGGACAATATGGATTGTGGCTTTCAAATGCTTCGTTTTTTCGGTTATATGGTCTCCTGGTGTCTTTTGTTTTGGCGTCTGGATTTTGGGCTCCTGGCCCATATGGTCTCCTGGGGCTTGCCTCTTGTATGACTAATTATTTTTTAACTATGTAATTTATGACTCACTTAATTACCCAAAAAAAAAAAAAAACTATCAAAACTTAATTTTCAACGTCTATATATTTCACTTGCTTATGCGAGAGCTCCTCCTTACTCTTTATACAAAAATTTCTCTCTTTATAAAAAGTTTTTTTGTTCCATATTCTCATATTTAGTGCCCATCACAAACTTAAAATATATATGGAATATGTCTTTAATTATATGTATATATTTCAACATTTAATAAAAAATCAATATTTTAGTATTATTATATCATTATTATTATTTAATTTTTACGGAGAAAACATTACTTATTTTATTTTTCAGTTATCCCTCTTAGGAACTTAGCCAAATCAAACATCAGCCTCAGACTGAAAATTATTACAAGGTCACGGATAACTTCCTGTGATAAAATTTTCCCTATCAAAATAACGCAAACATACCATTATTATAATGGGTCACACCGCAATTAACGTGTAGAAGGATTAATTTTTCCAACATGCAAGCTAGAAATGAGAAAAGAAGGCAAGTATACTTGAGAATGTTTAGGTGGATGGAAAGCGTTACTGACATCTCACCTTCTTATGTAGGCAAGTCCATATGGTCGTCTCAACTATCTAGAGACTAAAACTAAGAAAATTCTAGATTTGTAATATTTAGAGAAATTTTAGAGAACTTTTATGGAATGAATGTCTGCTTGTCTTTTATCATTCCATAATGTTTAAACAGTATACTATAAGATCCTCTAGATTATTTACCTAATTCTAGAATACTCCTCTAGAATATTTGAAAATTTCCAAGTTATCAAAACTTCTAGAGAATTAGTATGTAGTATCCTACATATTTATATGCGAGTGTAGAATATTCAAGGTGGCACGCATTCTGAGGTTTACTTTATTGGTGAAAGATAACCTCAATTACACCGTCCTCCCCACATAAGTTGAATTAATAAAGATTACATTGTTTGAGAGTTTCAAGCAAAATTTAAGTTTATTCTTATCATAGTTTTCAATTACTCAATGATGATGTAAAGTTTAATAAATGATTTAGAATTCGAATTCGAATTGGTTTATGCGAATGGAAGTTGAAGTTATCACAATTCACTATATTATTAATATGTGTGATGTCACGAGGATTTTAGTCTTTACTTACCTGAAATACAATTTTGTCTCGTTTAGAGATGTTTAGAGATTGGATTGACAATGTGTTATAGTATTTATCACAATATCATTAACACTAATCAACTTAATTTTATTAGCTGAAATATAACAACTCAGTCAAAATTAACTCCTGTAAATCCTAACCACCTTTGAATTGAACAATGGATCTTCTCAACAGCTACCTTGTCAAACGGCCATACTAGCTGCCCCAACTTTAGGAAGGAAAAAAAGAGAAAATGCAACATGTCAAATTGCGATACACGTGTCGATCACCGAGTTGGTTTAAAAAACTATAAATTATGGCAATCATGAGACCTTCATCACCAAAACTTGAGTTTTTGAGCAACAATATTGTTTCGTGTGTGTTCGATTTGAAGTAGAGAAACCAAAACATGGACCAATCTCAGAATGCGAATTACCAAGCTGGCCAGGCCAAGGGCCAAGCCCAGGTGAGCTTAGTCTGTTTTTTAGGTTTCTTTCATTCATATATTTTGAAATGGAGTTGTGGCTTGCATTCCCAACTCCAAAACTGGTGTGGGACCCACAATACACTGCACTTGAGAATGGCGGAGACCCCTCACGGTCGGGTCTACACGTTTGTGAGATGATCTCCATCCTCTCTCTCGACATATCCAAATCGTGTATGCTTTAATCATATATGCATGTAACACGCATGGGAGCTTCTTCATTTGTGGTTATGAAAACAACCATGGTGTTATACATACAAGTGCGCGCACGCGCGCACACATGATCAATATATAGTGACATACAGTGATGTGTGTTCTGATCATTTCAGGAAAAGGGCAACCAGATGATGGACAAGGCTAGCAATGCTGCCCAGTCATGCAAGGAATCAGTGCAGGAGGTCTCGAAAACTTTCAATCATATTCAAATTTTCAATCAATGCACATGTTAATTTGTTTTCGTGGTCACATCAAAATTTCAATCTTTCTAATAAATTGTATCATATATATATATATATTCGCGTAGGCTGGTCAGCAAGCGAAGGCCAAGGCGCAAGGCGCAGCTGATGCAGTCAAGAATGCAACCGGCATGAATTGAAGCTGCATTGATCCTTTAATTTGTTCATTTGTTTCCCGAATTTTATAAGTAACTTTCCGGTTTAAATCTTGAAATTCATTTGAATTTTGGTAGTCTTTTTGTTTCTCCTGTTTAGGAGGTCATAATTTGTTTGTCAATTGAAGGAAGAAAGAGAACTCTATCTCATGGAGTTGTCAATTTAATCAAATGACTATTTATTAATCAAAAATTTAATCTTCCTTTCTAGCTCTATATAATAATCTCTTAAATTTATACTGCAAAATTCTTGTACTTTGTGTGTGTGTGTGAGAGAGAGAGAGAAGCAACCTCTACAAGGCAATATAATCACAATATTTCATTAGTACCATGGTTCGCTATATCGGTCAATACTCATGTATCGTCCGTTTCGTAATCCATTTTAAGGTCCCACACATTCATGAACTGGATGGTTTGGCCGATTTACACCGATATTCAGCTGAGTCCGTTACACCGCGACCATTATCGTAATCGATACCGCGATTGCAAACCATAATCGGTACTCATCACTAAAACAATTCTGATGATATGATCACAATATCCTTGAAGCCAAAAATACCAACCGCTAAACTGATAGTAAATTCATTTGATGATCAGATGGCTCCAAGGAATGATTCTGCATATTTACAGAAGTCTCAACTGCAATATTTGTTAGTTGAAAAACGCGGGAAGAAAAAACAAAAAGGAAAATTCGAACTGGGAATTCGATCACAAGGTTGATTCAATGTCTGGTTTAGAAAGTTGAACAAATGATCAAAAAGTTATAATCTTCCTTTACCATTGGTGGTGCTTTGTGAGCCTTGATTGAATGATTTGATTTGGTAAGATTATGTTTATTGATATATATCATCCTGCATTTACATTATGTTTTGTGCCTTTCTTTGCTTTAAAGCTAAGGTTACTATTATATACTTATATATATATATATATATATATATATGGTTGCCAAAAAATTGTGGTTGGGGATACAAATTCTATCTAATAATTCAATTTTTATCTTATCTAAGTCTTGTGATCACTTTTTATTCTGTATGTGAATATATTAAGGAATCATTTTGGCCCCTAAGTAGTTGGATTGTCAAACTCATCACTGTAGATGATCAGTGTTAATTTTGTGTCGGTTATGGATGCTTCACAATCGAGTTGATAAGCTAGCCATCACCATTTTTACTTATATTTCTTCATTAATTCACCAAATAATTTGTCAATATATATGAAATATTCATGTAGGAATGAGATACTTCAAAAAAAAAAATGTACTCCAAAATGGTAAATCAAAATGCTCATGCTTCATGTTTGATGATGGGAACCCCAAAATAATTTGTGTGACTGTGTGTGTGTGTGTGGAGTGGTTAAATGAATGCAGGGCTTGATGGGGGGTTGGTTTTAATGAATTTCTATACACTATCAACTGACTGCACATACATACAATATACTATATGCTACATTGGTGTTTAATTTCTGTACTTTTTGTTACTGCCATTGTTGTCACTATTTTCTTGGTGTCCATATGAACACAACATTCGATCCATAGGGCGCGGTGGTACCATTTCTGGTGGCCTAGGGAATCGAATGAGACCTTTCAATGAGCAAAATGCGATGAATGTGACCAGGCAAGCCCTGCATTGAAGTTTGTTGTCACACTCCATAGTTTTTTCTGCACATTATCTTCAAAAATAAATGAACTGCTTAAACTCTCACTTGGAGCCTTGTAATTGACATATACTCAAATCCTTGTGACCTGTTTAGGAAGTAGGAAAGAAACAATGTGACAAAATGCCATTATTTTGAGATGATTATATAGTAGCTGCTATCACGGGGGTACATATTCTTCACTGCAGGCCCTCTGTTAAAAACAGAATTCTACTGCAAAAAGCGGGACCATGATCAGAAAAAGTTGAGGCCTCTCTGAGCCTTATATTCAGTAGGAGAAAAGATCGTATCAGAACTTTGGTTTTTAGGGTTTGTTTGGTAACAATGCCAATAATTGAGTATAGAAGTTGCATTTTCAAGTTTTGGATTTATTGTTGATTATAATCCTATTTGTGTGGTTAGTGTTAATTAGAAAAACCCAATAATTGATATAGTTTGATGATAAAATTTTTGTGTGCATTACATATTTATATGTCACCTCATGAGAATAAATTTGTTTATGTTTGTCTAAAATTGGCAAATTGCCCTCTAGTTAGGGTTTATTACACTTATCCCTCGTGTTTTAGATAATTACAATAACCTCCTTTCTAATTACATGTGTATACCAAATCAGCTCCGGCCGTTAGTGAAAGATGGTCAACACCGATGTGGCGAGTTTTTTAACTTCATGTCACAAATATGTCCTTCACTTTATCCCATGTTTGTTGTACGAAAAAACAACTCTAGTCTTAACTAAAGAAAGATAGACGGACTAACTCGAAAACATAGGGCTTGCTTGGTTCAGTTTTCAGTTTTCTGATAACTCAAAATCAGAAAAATTGTACAAAAATCTATTTAGTTGACATTTCATGATAATTATTTTCTTAAAACTCAATTAAGAAGGTGACTAAATTAAGAAGGTGACTGTTTTCAGATAACTGTCTTTTATAGTTATCTTAAAAAAAGAAAATTCTTTAATTTTTTTTTTTAAAAAAACTGTTTTCTGAATGATAAATCAAACACGATGAATTTTACTTTTAAGAAACATTCATAAATCCTTAGATAAAAAAATCCATACTAGAACACCTAAAAACCAGGATGGAATAAGAACCAAAGTGTCAAATAATGTAAAAAAGAGGGTCCATGTGCTAAAGAACAAATTATTTTGTTGGAAGCAAAGTTGCATTTTGAGTTTTGGATTTATTATTATTGATTATAATCCTAATTGTGTGGTTAGTGTTAATTAGAACAACCCAATAATTGATATAGTTTGATAATAAAAATTTTGAGTGACATGAGAATAAATTTGTTTATGTTTGTCTAAAATTGGCAAACTGCTCTCAACATTTAACTTTGGCATAGTTTTGATGCTTCTGAACATACATACATAAAAAAAAAAAAAAAAATAGAATAAATGAATAAATAAATAAAGGGTAGGAATGCTTCTATGCATTTTCAGAGGCTAGGAATATATTGAACTTACAGAAGGAATGCAAGATGCTTATGCTTATTAGTCAAGACACTTGGTTTATCTGAATTCACAAAATTTGATTGAATTTGGATTAAGATTAGAGTAATGAATTGAATATAATCAAAACTAATACAAATTATTTGGTTATGGATTCATAAAATATAGCCAAAATTCAGGGGAAAAAAAATTCAAGTTTAAACTTTTTAACTAATTCAAATAAGAATAATGAACTTATTCAGAAATTTGGTTGGAAAACTAAAAAATATAGGTTGAATTACACTTACCTCCCCTCTAGGATTTATTACTCTTACCCCGTTTTTAGATAATTACATTTACCTCATTTCTAATTACATGTGTATACCAAATCGGCTCCCACTGTTAGTATAAGATGGTCAATACTGATGTGTCAAGTTTTTTAAGCTTCATGCCACAAAATGTCCTTCACTTTATCCCATGTTTGTTGTGCGGAAAAATAATTTTAGTCTTAACTAAAGAATGATAGATTGACTAATTTCAAAACATAGGGTCGATAACTCAAAATCTGAAAAATTGTATAAAGATATGCTTAGTTGTGAATTATTTTTTAAAACCTCCATTAAGAAGGTACCTGAATTAAGAAGTTATCTATTTTCGGATAATTGTTTTGTATAATTTTCTTAAAAAGATAAAATAAAAATAAAAATTATTTTATTTTATCATTTTACAAATTCTTCAAAATTGTTTTGTGAATGACAAAATCAAACATCTTGCAGAAAAAAGAATCAAAGAGTCAAATAATGTGAATGGCCAATCATCACCTAGAAACGAGGGATGGGATAAGAACCAAAGTTTCAAATAATGTGAAAAAAAAAAAAAAAAAAAAAAAAGAGGTCCATGTGCTAAAAGAACAAATTATTTTGTTGGCAAGTCTGGAAGGGTACAAAATCATGTTTAAATTGATGGGTCCTTCAATGTCTTTTCAAAATGTTAAACATGTCATCCATTGCAGTGGCAATCAAGGTAGGGCATACCATGCCCCTGACACAAATCTTTATCCAATCCCAAGTTGGTACCATCATTGTTTTCCAGCAAGTGAAACATTTGATTACTTTCACTTTCATGTTAAGGACACATATGCTCAATTTCTGAATTTTCTTTTCCTCCCCATCCTTCACCTTTTGTTTGTTTTTTCTTTCAATTGCCGAAAAAAGTTGTTCAGTGACCCTTTTTTAGCGGAAAGAAGTTTTGATCATCCTCCTTTTTATAAAGAGGGTTAATTCAAATTTTGTAGGAGGGCCAGTAGCACTTTGCTTAGGGCCACCCAAAAAAAAAATCAAATTGGACCATCCACTGCAACATTATTACTAGTGCTATGATTATTTTTCAAACATTGTTAATATATTTATAAAGTCTTTGTATCGCACGTAGTGACATAATTAACATGTTTAGTAGCAATCAAATGATGAATTCGCAACTAGGAAAAAAAAAAAAATAAAGAATTGGCCTATGAAACCACCAAAAATTTCACAAAGAAAATGTGTCGAATGTGCGACGTCTCACAACCACAACCAGACGAGGAATTTTTTTAAAGGGGGTATTGTTGAAGAATAAATAAAATTGAAGACAAATATTTTAAAAATAAAATAATAAATATAAGAATTTTAAAAAATTAGTGGGGTAAAAATGTGAAATATAGTATTTTAAAAAATTGAGTGGGGTATTTTTAAAATTTTATTTGGAACTATAGGTAATAATGTAAATTGGGAAAAAAAAAAAAAAATCGAGTGGGGCATTTTTGAAATTTTAGTTGAAATATAGGTAATAATGTAAATTGGAAAAAATCCAGTAAGGGCATTTTTTAATTTAGTTAAAACTATAGGTAATAATGTAAATTTGAAAAAATCGATTGGGGACATTTTTAAAATCTTAATTGAAACTATAGATAATAATGTAAATTGAAAAAAATCTAGTGAAGGCATTCTCTCCCCACTGGCTTGAATTGGATTCGTGCCTGCTCACAACACTTGAGGGAAAGGTTGTTGACACTTATATGGGTGGACAATAGTAAAGGCATTCGCCCCCACTGTGTAGGCGCATGCACGGACCCAACATAGGACCAGTAGGGGCCTCCACTGAATTTTTAATATTGTCATTTTATATCTTAAATTTTTTAGAATTTATGAAGATGCTTCCACTAAAATTACAATTCGCCCCACTGAATTCTTTTTTTTTTTTTTTCATTTTATATTACAAATTTTTGAGAATTTATGAAGATGCCCCCACTAAAATTACAATTCACTCCACTAATTTTTTTTTTTTTTTTTTAATTTTTTACTTTACATTTTTTAAAATTTATGAAGAAAACCGTATTGAAATTATAAAAATGGATCCACTATATAAGTTTGCCCTAACAAATTAAAAGGTGGCCTCCCCTCACGAAATTTTCTGGGTCGATCACTGTGCAGGCGTGTGTTGAAAAAAAAAAAACCTGAGTACGAGAGTATGTAAAGTAAACAATATCTACTCAATGAGATAGGCCGTAACAATTTGTGTGTAGAGAGAGAGAGAGAGAGAGAGAGAGAGGGAATAATAGTGGATGCTGAAGATCTTCCCAAGTACAAAGAAGTGGAGGAGGTTTCCAGAGTGGTGTGTGAGACATAGAGACAAGATGGAGATGGGGTACAAGAGAGTGTCTACACTTAATTACCAAGCTTGGATGGGGCCTTGTGTTGGTCTTATTTTCTAGTGCATTGAAGAAGTAAATAACATCTGGATGTGTACTGAGTAATCTAGTGGGAGGAGGAAGAAACTAAGAAGGGTAAGTGGTGGCTCTTTCCCCCATTCAATCCTCATCAACTACTAGTAAGAAGACAATTCCTTGGTGCAGTTATTCATTAGGACTATGGTCAATTTGCTCTCTCTTTCTCCAATTAACTCTCTCTAGAATATTTGGAAAAAAAAAAAAAATTTTAAAAGCTCTCTCTGGATTATTCTTTAGTGCAATAATGAAATAGCTGCAAACAAATTTCTAAAAAGACTAACTCAGTGCATGGAGAGACTGTTCCGAATTCAAACTCGTGACTTATTGTCCGATCAGTCTTGACTTAGATACATCATGTCCAATGTATGCCTTTTTTCTTTTTCTTTTGCCGATGATGGTGGTGTCAATGCATGTTCTAATTTAAACATGTTTCTTTGCGTGATCTTACCGATGCTTTTCTTTATGCAAAGGAAATCAATCTTGCAATGGAATGACTGTCTATAAACTCTTTTGGAAATGATACATCAGTTAGTTATTTTGGAATTTTGAATGATTCATAAATTACAGATTTACGAGCATTACCTAGTGACCTAATTAGTAAAACACTTAATTTTTTTATATACCTAGGCATTTGAGTCCCCCTTTTTTTTAAGATCCACCATTAAGGGTGAAGTAGGTGAACAGTCTAGTCACAATATCTTTGTAGATCTGTCATGCTTTGAGGGGCTGTCCAATTTGTATGTCAGTCATAGCTGTCACCTTATTGGTTCCTTCTTGGCCTTTTTTAGACAAAGGGCATGCAATGTAATTGCAGACAAAAGGGTTAAACACTTAAACTATTAATAAGTTAATAATGGTCCCTGGAATCCACTTACGTGAATCGCTTTTTTAAACGGGTTGTAGACTTGTGGTGATGTGATAAACAAAAGGGACACTTACGCCTATCCTTCTTCAATCTATAACCGACCTTAATCAATGGACATTTTGTCATTCTCCAGTATTAGGATAATGATTTAGAATTTAAAAATTGAACAAATATGATTAATTTATGTGGGTGAGTTAATATTATTATAATATCATTAATATTTATGATGTCATGATAACATCAGTCTTTACTTACGTAAAAATATTCAGATATATCCGACTATCAGACTCTCTATCATTACTCTCAGTATTAAAACATTTGTTCTCTTTTTTCATATCTTATATCCGTTTCATGTGTATCGGACAATTATTGAATCTCAAAATTAAAAACTCAAAATGTTATGGGCCCCACTCTGTTAAGATGGGGTTCATATATAGCATTGTGAGACAGTGCCAAGTCGGATATAGTCAAAGTGTATCACAACTCCTTGAAAAATATAAAGTGAAAATTTTTACCATTAGATTATCCTTTTAGGTTTCAATTCCTCTTTCTTTTGCCTAAAGTATGCATAAATAGCAATTAAGTAGTATTGGGTTCTCCATTATCCTTTTAGGTTTCAATTCCTCTTTCTTTTGCCTAAAGCATGCATAAATAGCAATTAAGTAGTATTGGGTTCTCCATATCCATCCCAGTGAGCTGCTGTTTGGATGCAGGGGAGCTTAGCCTCTTACAACAAGCATCCTTGTTTTAAGCTTTCTCCTTCTTGACCTTGTGACTCTGATTATTGTATTCCATAATTTGATGTATAATTCGATACGCGATTTTTTTTTTAAGTCCGATACGCATTTCATACATGTCAATTTACATTAATTTTATCCGAATTTATTATACGGTGACTGTAATCGATACCGCGATTATAACTGATACTGCGAACCATGTTTTACGCACAAACACAGTCAAAATGAGAAGAAAAAAAACCTATTAAGAGTTCCAACTTAACCCATATGCCAAACACCAAATACTGGGCATCAAACCATAAAATTTACATGAACTCTAGATTAGTCAAGTGTGAGCATTAAACGACAAGTAATTTATATTCAGATTTATATGCATATTTCTAATATGATATATATACATATAGTCATATATATACTGTTTTATTTCTATTTTTACATAGAGAAACACCATCTGAATCAGATCGTGATGCAATCCATATGGTCAAATCAAATGGTGTAGTCCAATCTGGTCCATTTATCGAAACAATCCTACAACAAGAAGCATACAAACTATACAGTATACAGAGTATGTACATCCTTCAGACCGTTATATATCAATGTCCTAGGGTTGTCTTTGTATTTTTGTTATCATGTATGCGCTTTGTTAAGAAATGGGTGAACAGATTTCAAGCCCACGCTCAAGTGAGGCACGTGGAGTACACTCTCCATCTTGGAGTTGGTGTGTAAATTATTATTTTTTTTCAGTGCAAAAAAAGAATTAGGCATCAAACTTATACAGCAACCCCTTTTTATTTTTTTATTATTTTCCTTTTTCATGTTTGTCCATTATAATCCTAGAAAAGTAGTCTAGATACTTAAGTTTTTACTTTCTAATTTTGAACTTTATTTGATATATTAAGTTTTTATTATGGGAAGGGTTTCTAGAGAAAGACATGCCTCATATGCCTATATATAATGGTTTCAAAACCATTATCCATTAACGAGATAGAACATTCCAGGTACTTTATTTTTAGGTTTATTAATCAATTAGGCATTCATCTCTTTCATTGCTGAAGTTTTCTTGATTTGGATTATTATTTACAAATCATCAGGTGTATATGAGAATGTGTTAATAAAGTCCATTATATGATTTGTTTCACTTGTTTTCTGTAAAACTGCAATCCAAATTTTGTTTCAAATTGGATGTAATTATGATCCGAAAAGAATTTTTTTTTTATTGGTTTTCTTTGTAGGAACATGAATTCAAGTCGTAAACTCTCTTGTAAGTTTTAGCCTAATATATAAAATCGTGTAATACAGAAGAACATTGAAAATCGAAGTTTAGAGGGAGAGGCTTTAGAGTCTAAAATTGATAATCTCCTACTTTTTGCAGCAAATTTTTTTTGAATTTTCACCTTGGTATACTTTACGTAAATATTTGTATCTCTTATTTACTTTTTTTTATATTTCTTGATTGTTATTGGTTGATTCCAGGGATTTGTTGTCGTATTAAAAAATAATTTAATAACGAAACATTATGATCCAAAAGGTCGAATTTTTTATATATTAAATTTGATAATGTTTCGTCCAAACGTTTATGGACAACCAATATTTTTATCACAAAAAAAAAAAAAAAAAAAAAAAAAAAAAAAAAAAGAAAAAGAAAAAGTACTTTTGCAGCTACATATAATAATCACGCGCGTGGAAAGCATCTCAATGATTTTTTAGAGAGAGAGAGAGGTGAGAGTGGAGGCAGCTTTTGCTTTTAAAAGTGTTACTCTTTTTGAATAGTTTTTTGGAATGACTGTCTGCTTAAGGTAGATAAGCGTGTGAGTGTTAGCTGACAGAGTGGTCTGTGGAATCAATAAAGCAATCGCACCTCTCATCATCCAAAGTATATGTGTGTGTGTGTGTGTGTATTGTAAACATAAAAAAAAGAAAGAAAAAGTAATGCTCTAAGGCAGTTGAAATCATCTCTCTCTCCTAATCATGCCATAGTGGTGGTCATGAACAGGTAACCAAACCCACCACCAATCTCAAGCCCCTCGAGATTCTCAGTCTTTAATCCTTAAAAAATATTGAATTTGGGACTTTATTGAATGACCCGACTCAAGGAATGTCGGATTCTCTTCCCCTCCTCCATGATATATTGATATGCATGTATATATGTATAGTTTGTATATTGAATGATTCTATAGTTTCCAAAGGACAAATAACATGATTACAGAATTTGCAATACATAATGGTATGTAATAAACGACCCTTCCATTGAAAAAGACTATCGTTATTGTCGGATTTTGAGGAGGGTGTGACATACAAAATTATATTTTTACTCCTGTTTTGAACTCGTAATATCTCACCATCATAAAGTTTGGAAAGAATTTAACTATACATCGCACTTTAAACCGTAATCTCTAAATTACAATTAAATAATTTTACTATTGTAACTTTTAACCGATACCATCTAAATTAGAATTGAACAACCTTAGTGTTCTGTTTGTGAATACTATGACATGGCAGACAGATGTTTAAAGAACTACCTGTTTATTTGTTCATATATTAAATAATGCCTATATACTCTTTCTAGGCAAATGCATGATTGCTCAACCATGTGAATTTCCAATTCTCTCCTTCACTTTACAAATTTACGATTCTGTTGGTTTTGTCTTGTAAGTTCGAAGGCTATAATATATTCTTTTCTTTACTTGCTCATGACTCAGTGACAAGCATGCTAGTTCTCTTTTTATACTGCCCAAAGACACACGGTTTTTTCTTGGGTCTGACACAAATTTCAGATAAATGGATTTCTGGCATGGAAAGATTGAGATGGAGATTCTGATCTAGAGATAACATGAGACAATAGACACCCAATTGAGGGCTGGGATTTAAAGTTAGTTTTAGCATCTGGGGTGTGTTTGGTTCTCGGGAATTCCAATTCCAATTCCAAACAGAAAATGAAAAGAAGAAGAGTGGCTGCATTCTGTGTGTTCTTCACATTTTTCTGGTTCTGGACTCCTGCAAATGGTTTGCTCTCCCCCAAAGGTGTAAACTTTGAAGGTAACAATATATTCTTCAATTCTATTTTGTGTACTCTACTACAAGTTTTGTTATTTTTAGCTATAAATGTACTGCAAAAATGGAATTGCTGATCTGATTTTATTATTATTATTATTATTTTTTTTTTTTTTTTTTTTTAATTCAGTGCAAGCTTTGATGGGTATAAAAGAATCTTTAGAAGATCCTCGTGGTGTTCTTGATAATTGGGATGGTGACTCTGTTGATCCATGTTGCTGGTCTATGGTCACTTGTTCTCTTGAGAATCTGGTTATAGGCTTGTAAGTCTTGCCTAAAAAATAACCCTTTTTTTATTTCAATACAAACCAAACAGAGTTCATAAAATCAACTAATTTATGATCATGAGTTTTTAATTTGTATATATATATATATATGTATATGGTCATGTTGCAGTGGAGCTCCTAGTCAAAATCTATCTGGTACTCTTTCTCCAAGCATAGGCAACTTAACAAATCTCCAGATTGTGTGAGTACACACACACTTGTTTGTGTTTGTTGGAATTTCTGAATGAGAATGTTTTTTAATGAATGAGGTGTTTTGCAGGCTCTTACAGAACAATAACATAAAAGGACCAATCCCAAGAGAGATTGGAAAGCTTTCAAAGCTTCACACACTTGATCTTTCTAATAACTATTTCACTGGTGAAATTTCCTCTTTTCTAGGTCACCTGAATAGCCTTCAGTACATGTAAGCATGAAATTTGAATTTTCCAAATAGAAAATTTCAGTAATATAGTTATAGATAATAATTTAGATAGATATGATTCAACTGAACTCTGATTTTAGGAGGCTTAACAATAACAGTCTCTTCGGAGCGATTCCAATGTCGTTGGCCAGCATGACTCAGCTTGAGTTTCTGTAAATTTCTTCAACTTACTTGTATTATTAGCTTAAATATGTTTGTTTTCGGTATGAAATGTGTATTTTCAAGAATGTTTTTGTCATTCTATGTGTCTGATCATTGCAGGGACTTGTCTTTCAATAATTTGAGTGGTCCTATACCTAGATTTCCATCTAAAACAATCAAGTAAGTTGCTTATACATCTCCTTTTACAGTTTGGGATACTAAACTTCTCTGCACTCTTTTTAATTCTGTTCTCTGATTGCAGCATTGTTGGAAACCCTCTAATCTGCGCGGGGTCTGAGCAAGATTGCTATGGATCGACATTGATGCCGATGTCCATGAACTTGAATAGTTCACAGAGTAAGGAATTTTTATTCTCTCTTCTTGTGATATACTAAGAATTGCCATAATTTCTGTACTTAAATTCTGTTTCTTAACCATTCTTGAACGTCTTTGCTTTTCGTAAGTTGAAGACTTCAACATTTCTGCATATTTGGTTGTTTATGCTCACCTGATTTCTCTGCTGCTAAGCAGCTTTGCCTTCTGGGAGAACAAAAAGTCACAAACTTGCTCTTGCAATTGGGACAAGCGTTGGGTGCGTCTGCTTGTTTATCCTTGGAATCGCGCTGATATTATGGAGGCGCCAAAGGCACAAGCAGCAGATATTCTTCGATGTTAATGGTTCGTAAATCACAACAAAGCTTGGCTAATTAAAGGACTAATTATATTCTATAATGTGGCTAATGTTCCCTCTAATCTGCAATGTTTGTATGAAATTTCAGATCGGCATCATGAGGAGGTTTCCCTAGGAAACTTGACAAGGTTCCAATTTAGGGAACTTCAGGTTGCAACAGACAATTTCAGCAGCAAGAACATACTAGGAAAAGGTGGCTTTGGAAATGTCTACAAGGGTTATCTCCGAGATGGAACTGCTGTGGCCGTAAAAAGGCTCAAAGATGGCAGTGCCATGGGAGGGGAGAGGCAATTCCAGACAGAAGTAGAGATGATCAGCCTAGCAGTGCATCGCAACCTCCTCAGGCTATATGGTTTCTGTATGACTGCCACAGAAAGGCTTCTAGTTTACCCACACATGTCCAATGGCAGCGTTGCTTCTCGTCTCAAAGGTATATATTTATATACACACACACCATAGATATTGACATTTATGTCTATAATGTATACATAAATTCGAAACCTAGAGTACTGATTTTTGGGTAGCTGAATTAGTACTTTTCATTTAAATTTTAACAGCAAAACCAGTGCTGGATTGGGGCACTAGGAAGAGAATTGCCTTGGGAGCTGCAAGGGGGTTATTGTACCTCCATGAGCAGTGTGATCCAAAGATAATTCACAGGGATGTGAAGGCTGCGAATATATTGCTCGATGACTATTGTGAGGCAGTGGTGGGAGATTTTGGTTTGGCAAAGCTTTTGGATCACCAGGATTCACATGTGACAACTGCTGTGAGGGGCACTGTAGGGCATATAGCCCCTGAGTATCTCTCCACCGGACAATCTTCTGAGAAAACAGATGTGTTCGGATTTGGGATCCTTCTCCTTGAATTGATGACAGGGCAGAGAGCCCTAGAATTTGGCAAGGCATCTAATCAGAAAGGAGCAATGCTCGACTGGGTGAGTACCCTTTCTCTGAGGTTCTAGTTCAGTTTAAATGATCACTCAAAAAACTCGTCTGGCACTAAAAACTCTTCTAAATTATAGTTACCAAACACTAACGTAGAAGTCAAATGGAAGTGATAGCTTCAGTTCTCTTTTTCTTTTGTGTAAAAGCAAAAGCAAAAGCTATGCCAAACGAGCCCTTTATAGTGGTTGGCCTAAGGGTTTATCAAATCATCTCTTCTAGTGTTGTGAATGAAATTTACTTATGTTTAATTCATTGTATCCTCTCTTCTAGGGTTTATCAAATCCTCTCTTCTGTGTCAAATGGAAGTAATAGCTTCCGTTTCTCTTTTTCTTCTATGTAAAAGCAGAAGCAAAAGCTATGCCAAATGAGCCCTTTATAGTGATTGGCTAAAGGTTTTATCAAAACTCTTCTTGTGTTGTGGATGAAATTTACTTATGTTTAATTCATTATAACAGGTAAAGAAAGTTCATCAAGAGAAGAAGCTTGATTTGCTCGTCGACAAGGACTTGAAGAACAACTATGATCGAAATGAACACGAAGAAATGGTCCGAGTGGCTCTATTGTGCACCCAATATCTTCCCGGCCACAGACCTAAGATGTCGGAAGTGGTTCGAATGCTCGAAGGGGATGGACTTGCAGAGAGATGGGAAGCATCTCAAAGAGTTGACACATCCAAGTATAAGCCGCACGAGCTATCTTCATCAGAGAGATACTCTGATCTCACTGATGACTCTTCATTACTTGTACAAGCCATAGAGCTCTCTGGTCCAAGGTAAAGTAAACTAGTTACATTCTTTCTGTGACTTAATATAAAGATTAGAATTTCAAAAGGAGAATACAATAGTTCAAGTTGTTGTGTTGTATAATAGTAGTAGTATATCAGAGCTCCAAAGGGCTTTGATGTTATTTCTTTAGTGTACAAAAATTTATTTGAGGAATTACATGAGTTTAGATTGAGAGTTTTATCTCTGTGTCTTCCGAGTTGAGAAAATTAATGGGATGTCCAGTTAAAACCTTTAGCTTGAAAGAATAATGTTCTTTCCTCAGGTTTTGTTTGTATCCTTGGATTTTTTTGGCATTAGTTTACAACAAACGATGTGAAACAAAGAAAACAATCAAGAAATTACAAAAATAATAATAATAATAATAATAATAATAAACATGCACTACACACACAAGACAAAAATATTTACGTAGTTCGCGGAATGACCTACATTCCATAGAGAAGATCAGTGAAAATTTTCACTAAGAGAAGAAAACAATATATTAAGATTACAAGTTCTCGAACCTCCAACCCTATTTCTCTCTCTCACCCTTTAAAATGGCTTTCCGTGTTACGCGACAAATCCTAACACCATGCCAAGTTAAAAAAGAGCATTGAAACTCAGGTACATGACCCACAAGACAAAACGGGTCAAAATATTATTTGGGTCATAATTGGGCCGCGTTTGGGCCACAACTTCACAATATATATATATATATATATATATATATATATATATGTTTTTATTTCACACTGTTCTGAAACTATGAACTTTCAAATATTTCTCTATAAATGTTGTGACGTTGTAACCCGAGGGGTTGACTCTAGTGGTAAGTCTGGGCTGGTGCCTTGGGCGGAAATGGATCTAAAAGTCAATGATATATGCGTTTGAGCATAAGCTTGATAGATGCTCATCAATTCTGTCAAGAACATTTCACCTTTATAATATGGAAGCAAGTCATAGTAATCAAAAATTATATGAATATTTGGGAATCTCCGTAAAGTCTTCTGGTTCATACGAATCATATCAGTAACATAATGTTATTAATGTCCCACTTTACATTTCAATCTATAACCACTTGTTTCAAGAGACAGACAATGAAATACTTGTGCCTTTTTCATGGACAGTTGTGAAGGGGTCCATTTCACACTTCAATTCATTATATACTGCTTTCAAGTGATAAGTGAATCTCTAACCTGAAAGTGAATATACTGCAGATATATATTGCTTTCTTATAATTAGTATTCCAAATTATTTCAGTGCCGAATATTCTCGGTACCTAGATGAGTCACCATGTATCCAAATTCAAAAATAATATAGTCGGACTGTTTTATACAAATGAGAGATGACATTGGCATTGAGAGTTTTGAGATACTATACTATTCATAGAAGGGTTGAATCAAATCCAATCTTTGTTTAAAGGTGGGTGTGCAAGATCACCAACCCACATTCTTACTCGGTTACTGAGGGTGATTTTATAATGATGTCATTTTTCGTTCATATAAATGCAGTCGGATAGGTATTTATATCCGGACTCGTCCAAAACATACAAACAAGAAATTGATTACCATGCAGGAAATTAAGGCCCTTAGCTTGTCCAAATAGCAAGCCATTGTGTTTGACACTTCAGACCCATTCGAGGTCATCCCAATTAGACATTGACAACTAGCATAGTGTAACGGGGGTGGTGCTTACTCATTTAACTAAATGGTTAAGATATTGGGTAGTTATGGATACCCATCAATTTATATCCATTTCATTTTCCTTTCGGATCTGATGTGGGGAATAAGTCTCCCCTTGTGACATTCTTCCCCACCCGAACTCGCAATACTCTCGTTGCAGCCGTGCCACCCTATCTACCCAGGTGGCACACCCAGACGCCTTCCAAGCTGGGTGCTTGGCGTGGTGCCTTCCGGGCTGAGTACTTGGCGTGATGCCGGATCAAGGACTGAATCTAGCTCTGATATCAACTGTAACAAGTGAGCGCTTGTCCATTTATCCAAAAACTTAAGGTATTGGGTAGTACTGCATATCCATCCATTTATACCCATTTTACTTTCCATCCGGATCCGATGTGGGACAAGTCTTCCCTACGGACTAATTTCCACATGAATGTCCTTGAATTTTCCTTCCACCTACAAGGATTTTAGATTTTGGTTGGGACTTAAGAGGTAGACCTGAAACTGTCCTAAGCTTTGGAATTATTATCTCAAAGTAACTAGACTACTCCGACTGCGAAAATGACCCTTCGAGTTTAGGCTTCTACAATTGTACCATGCAATGATAGTTGTCATTAAAAAGGGAAGAGGAACTCTAATAGGGTCATTGACAGGATAAAGAGTTGATTTTTGGACTATTGATGCATTTTAATATGTCCTCTTCATATACCAAATTTATGGGTTATGAGATATCCTCTTTTACTTTTTCTTTTCTTTTTTTTTTCTTTTTCTAGTCATTCCTTTTCTGTTTGGCTCCATTGTTACTTGATGAAATTCGACAATATAAAATCAATACTGATTTAAACATATGCTGCCATATTATGCATTTGCTATAGACCACAGTGTTGACATATCATCAATGCTTATTCTTCTTCTACAAAATTTTGACAGTGCATACCTAGAGGCTTTACATTCCAAACCCTAGAGCCAGCCAAAAGTGTGAAAACCATCATGGGACATGGCTAAAGAAAAATAAAGCCTTTGTCATAATCAGTCACTCAAGTCAGCTCAATAAAAACTTTTAGTCACCCAATTACTTCAATTTCTGTTTAGAGACTTTACTTAAAATAACATAATAACTTTTGTTCCAATCCCACAAACAATGTCACACCATCAACTGTGTGATGACCGGACATTTTGCTCAATAATGATCAAGAGAAGCCAATTCAAATATGAGAACCACCGCTGTTATGGGGGAACCCACAGCTATGTACGAATCCTAACTTACTGTGGTGGGACTCACAATCATATGTGACATTCAATTTTATATTTTAATTTGTAACCACTTGATTTAAGAGACATAAAGAAATAATTATATGACTTTTTCATGGAGTTGTGAAGGGTCCATTTCATCAATCAAGACATTATATGCTGCTTTCTAATGATGAGTGGGATATCTTTTAACTGTCCGAGTGTACTTTTCAAGCAAGTGCAAACATGAAATAACCCCACTTTTCTGTGACTCAAAATTATCCCAGTTTCTGAATTATTCTTGCAAGTACTATTCCATATTCTTTCAGTGCTGAATATTCTTGATTCCAAGACGAGTCACCATGTATTCAAAACATAAAAACAAGGCATTGATTACTATGCACAAATCTAGGACTCTTAAAACTGCTATGGCTAGGCCAACCAAGAGGCTGGTCCAAATTGCATACCTGCACCGTTGTGTTTGACACTTCAAGCCCATTTGAGGTCATCCCAAAGAGAAATGGACTAATTTCCACATGGATGTCCTCGAATTCGCATTCCACATATAGGGATTTGAGATTCGGTTGGAAGGTACGTACACCTGAAATTGACCCACGCATTGGTATTATTGTCACAAAGTGACTACTTAGACAGTCAAACTGTATCAAAATGACTCTAAAGTTTAAGAGTAGTATTTTACCATCATAGTAAATAATAGTAGTCGTCAATTTTTTTTTTTGTTAAATGAAAATTTTAAGAAGGGTAGAGGAACTCTAATAGGGTCATTGATGGGCAAAAGGGTTGATTTTTAGGCCATTGATGCATTTTGATATAAACCACAATGTTGATATAACATCAATGCTTATCCTTCGACTTCAAAATTGCATAGCTTCTAGCAAGAGGCTTTACATTCCAAACTCCAAAGCCAGCTAAAAGTTTGAAGTAGAGGATCAAAGCCATTGTCATAATCAGTCACTCAGGTCAGCTCAATAAAAAAACTTGTCACCCACTTACTTCAATTTCTGTTCAGAGACTTTACTTTTTATGCAAGATCATAACTTTTGTCCCAGCCCCAACATTTATCCACATATTTTCAAAAGTAATAATTACAATGGGCTGATGGCAACGGGACGGGTTGGGACGGTGATTTCATTCTCCATTCTCATTCCTGATGCATTTTTTATTCCCCATCTCTGCCCCATCCTGTTTAAAATTTTGCCAGAATCCCCATACCCATCCCCGTCCCCGCCCTCGACACTTTATCCCCGGCCCTGGCCTTGGCCTCGGCCGCGACCTCATAATTTTTTTTATTAACAAAAAACACATTTTTTTTTTATTTTCATATATATAATAAATTTAATTTAGTAATAAATTATTATATATAAGGATAAATTAGTAACTTCACACTTAATCGGGGCAGGACGAATTTACCCCATCCCGACTCCGATCCTAACAGGAATTTATAATTTGTCCCCATTCTCGCTATAAACGAGGCGGGGGAATTTCTCATTCCTGTTCCGCAATACCCAATATCACACTACCAACAGTGTGATGACAACACATTTTGTTCAACAGTTATCAAACCAATTCAAATATGAAAAAAACTCAAAATTGACGACACCTGACAAGTGTGGTGTCTCACATAACTAATGCCACACCACCAACAATGTGATGACAGCACATTTTGTCCGGTAGCGAGGACAAGTCAATTCAAATAAGAAAATTTTAAAATTGGCGGCACCCAACCAATCAATTGTAGCAAAATTCCTCAAATACTTATGAAGACCTATAGACGGTAGAGGTTGAGTACATTAATTATGCCCCAAAGGTCAGTCTACTTGTATTGCCAACTTGTGGTGAAGGTACATCCTCATCTGATGCTTCTTACGTGTCGATGTCCTATTGGCTACAAGTACTTTCCACTTGGGCAGTCAGCTTTGTGGTAGTCTATAATGAATGGACTCAACTGGTTCCACGAGAACACGCTTTTACCTTTATCCAAAAGGTCGAAAGCACGTGAGAATACAAGACAAGTCAGCATCCAATTGGATGGTGAGCTGTCACACTTTTTCGGCCCCACATTAAACCATGTTTTATACCACAAAACTTTACTTAGGCTGGTTTAACATGCGTTTTGTTTCTAGTGTTTTTATTTTTGAATTACTATAATGTCGATTTTGGTAACAAAAACATGTTTGGTGCGGCCTTGTTTTATTTTACACAATCCTAAAATACTTCGTGAACAGTGACCCAAAACCAAAACATCAAAAAGTTATTTTTTTTTTTATTTTGACAATTGTTCATGGCCCAAAATCATAATAGTAGCACAAAATAGGCCAAAAACAAAACGCCTAAAATATCGTTCCCAAACGTGCTTCTGATTTTTTTTCAAAACACTTCTACAGCAAAAACACTATTTGTTTTTTAACCAAAAATAAAACGCTTAAAACAAAGCGCATACCGAGCGGATCCTTAAAAGCAAAAATGAATAAAGAAACTCAAAAACTAAAGTGAATTTCAGAAAGAGAATACAAACAAACACACGCACCAATTTATTTTACGACTCAACCACATTTATTTCATGGTTATCTATATAGGTCCTCTTTTATGGTGGCTTCATCTGTATCATGTGATTGAAAATAGCTAAAGTTAGTTATGGTCATCAGATATATAACCAAGCCTTAACAACTCTTGGTTTTCTACTAATTTAACCAAACCTAAAACTATGTTGTGTTCAACTTGATCAGGTCCATGTGGCCACATTAATAACATTAAACCATAACCCCTAAATTTTAAACGCAAAGGTGAGATACACGAGGCAAAGGCAATAGAAGAAAATGACCTTAAAACTAATCCTAAGCAAGTTTTATACTAAACGTAACTTTCGATATAATGAAAATATATTTTTTTGTTACTAACATGACTAATGGTATCAGATTCTTACTTTTCAAAGAAATGTTAAAAATTCGAGTCTCGATGAAAACATGTGTGTGTAAGTGCCAATTATATAATATATATATATATATATATATATATATATATATATATCTTCTGTCACGAAGAAAACCATCTCAACTCAAACTTTAAAATAACTTCTCTTCTAATTCTAGGTCTTGCTATAATTTTTAAGCATTTAATGACAGAAAAATGGAAACAATTAATCAAACAACTTTAATGTATACAAAGATGTTTGATCAAGTTCATTGAATTTTCTAATTTAGGAGAGAGAATGGAGAAAATTGAAACTTGGTAGAACTCAGCATGTCCGCACTACACAAGACCATCTGCATACTCACAAGTCAACTGACACGTGTAACACATACAGTATCTTAACCTTCCTTTATGGGTCGAGTCAGCATATCGACACGAGTCATCACCGAATGGCGAGTTTACTGAATTTAGTCTACTCGAGAGAGTATGCATGACGGTCACGCCCATTAATTGATTCCAAAGTAACTGGGGCCCGTGAAAACTCCGACTTCCACAGCCGACCCGGGCCCGCCGGAAAGTTAGCCAACCACAAGATAACTAACAACTTTTTTGACCCACTAAATAGTCGACAAGTGTCATTTATTGGATTCTCTCTCTGCCTACAGTTACCCTCTTCACTCACTCATCCCCAAAGCAAAGCCTCATAGAAAGAAAGAGAGACGGAAAAAAAGGGGGAGAGAAAAAAATGATGTTGAAGGAAGAGTGTGTCAGTGTAGATGGTGTAAGTAACAATTGGGCTCGCGTGTGTGACTTATGCCGATTCGCATCGTCCTCAGTGTACTGCCTAGCGGACTCGGCCTACTTGTGCACTTGGTGCGATGCCCGTGTCCATGTGGAGTCACACCACAAGCGCGTGCGGGTGTGCGCCGCGTGCGAGCGCGCTCCAGCAGCCGTCCTGTGCAAGGCCGACGCGGCGTCGCTTTGCACCGTGTGTGACAAAGACATACACTCCGCCAACCCATTAGCACACCGCCACCACCGTGTCCCGGTTCAGCCCATCTCTGGCTGCCTATTCGGCCCACCAGCCACCGACGGGTCAGCAACCAATGACCTGGACTGCAGCTTCTTAGCCGAAGAGACCGAGGAAACCATAGATGAAGAAGATGAAGATGAAGCAGCTTCATGGTTGTTGCTTAACCCTATTAAGAACAACCACCGCTATCAAAATAATAGTGGGTCATTGTTTGGTGATCAATATTTGGATCTTGTTGACTATAACCCATGTCAAGATAATCAGTTCTCTGATCGATATATTGATCAGCAGCAACAGTACAGTGTTCCTCAGAAGAGCTATGGAGGTGATAGGGTTGTCCCGGTTCAGTGTGGAGATCAAGGAAAGAACCAGCCGCAAATCCACACTAGTTTTCAGTTTGGGATGGACTATGATCAGACCTCAAAATCTGCGTCTACTTACCATACTTCAATTGGTCACAGTGTGAGTCTTTCCTAACCATAACTATATATATATGTGTGTGTGCGTGTGTAGTCTAGCTATGTTGTTCTCTAAAATCATGTTCATATCAATAAGAAATACATGCACAAATTTACTAATCACTTGTTAATTGTTCGTGTTTACAAGTTCAAAATAATTAAGTGTCACACAAAGATTCAAGAACAAACATAATAGACGTGTAACCAAGAATAATATCAAATTTCTTCTTGTCTTCTACTCTTCTTTACTTAATTTAGAAGAGGTCTGTTTTCTGTAAGGCCATTCAACTTTCCCTGAAAACTGGGATATTCTGATTTTACTTTTACTTTTACTTTATGGGCTCATATATTTTTCTGTCTTTTTTGGTTCTTTCGCCTTCAGTGTCTGTTTTTTTTTTTTTTTTTTTTTTTTTTTCCTTCTGTTAATAACTTAGCTTTGGTGCTTATACAACATAATGCTATAATTTTTCCAAGTAACTGACTCTTTGTGTTTTATGTAATTTTGTAATCAGGTCTCTCCTTCATCGATGGATGTTGGTGTCGTACCTGAACCTGAACCTACAATGAGCGATGTCTCAATCTCTCACCCAAGACCTTCCAAAGGAACAATTGACCTTTTCACGAATACTCCCACTCAGATGCCTCCTCAAAATACTCCGATGGACAGGGAAGCCAGAGTCCTAAGGTACAGAGAGAAGAAGAAGATGAGGAAGTTTGAGAAGACAATCAGGTATGCCTCGAGGAAGGCCTACGCAGAAACCAGACCCCGGATCAAGGGTCGGTTTGCAAAGAGAACAAATGTAGAAGTTGAAGAGGAGCAGATGCTATCCACAACACTAATGGTAGAACACGGATATGGCATTGTTCCGTCATTCTAAATCCGAATACAAGAGAGGAAAAAGAAGAAGAATCTTCATATGAGAATTTTGCTTCTTTTAACTAGTGCTACTGCTAATATGTACCTCTCTCAATCTAATTGTTTTTTCAAATGATTAGTAATATATATATTTATATATATATGCTTAGTAGTTTTGTATCTTGATAACTCTGGTTCTCTTGTAAATACATGTCAGGACTTGACATTTATTATGTGCAACGATAATTCCCCTTCTGAGTCCATATTTGCAATTCTAAAATTTTGGGTTTGAGGAGCTAAACAAATAAAGGTTATCCAGAAGAACTGGAGAGCCTAATCCAAGTGATTATCAGAATTTCTCGATACCAAACCAACTCGCACGTAAAAACACAAAAGATCAACTCATATACAACAGCAACAAGTAAACTAAGCCAAGATTGGCAGTGACAGAACACAGTTGAAGCCCAACAATCTACTTCTACTAGACGTATACTATGTTGCATACACCAACCACTATGATGTTTATGCAAGTCAAAAGTACAAAATTCCATTTACCATAGTTATTGTCCTTGAATTCCTTGGTCCAGCTTTAGCGACCTTCCAAAGTCCCAACACTCGGGCTGTTGCTGCTTTCACTGAGTTTCATATGGTTTCTCCTGCTACTTCGGTTGCTCCTGCTGCTTCTTAGGCTATTGAAGAACAGAATCAAGCATTAGAAGATCGTGCTGAAGAGAACAAATTGGTGAGATGTTGCTGGCCTGTGATGATGATGGTGGCTCTAAGAGGAAGGAAGTGGAGAAAACGGAGCAAGAAGCGGGGTAGGCAACGTAACAAAGAAGAAATTGAAGCAGAATATCAATTGAAAGAACCAATGGAAGTGATTGAAGAACAAAATCAAGCATTAGAAGATCGTACTGAAGTGGTTTATAAACAAAATCAAGAACAAATTGGTGAGATGTCCAGCTGTTCCTCATGCTGATATGAGGACAATGATTCGGTCATACTTGTAGCTGCTAGTGATCCAGCTTCAGGAGGTCGAGGCCGTAATTGCCTGCGCTCCTCCTGCATACTTGTGGCTTCTCCTGCATCAGTCGACGCCCTAATTGCCTGCACTGTGAATTCTCCTGCATCCGCTGCTCCAGTTGATCCTGGGTACAACTCTCTGCTATGGATTTTAGTTCTGAAGACTTTTCTGGAATTGGAAGATCTAATTGTTGTTGTGGCTGAAAACCAACGATATCAAAACTTTCCTCTCCATGACTCTTCTTCATCAGCTGCTCTTTCTCCTCTGAAAATTCTCTCTTCTCTTCTTCCATGATAGGCTCAAGAGACTCGCAGCACGTTTAATTTACTACCATCACCCTTCTCACTATCATCACAGGCCAGCAAGATCTCACCAATTTGTTCTTGATTTTGTTTATCTACGATCTTCTAATGGTTGATTCGTTCTTCAATCACTTCCATTGGCTCTTTCAATTGATATTCTGCTTCAATTTTTTTTACGTGGCCTACCCCGCTTCTTGCTCCGTTTTCTCTTCACTTCCTTCCTCTTAGAGCCACCATCATCACAGGCCAGCAACATCTCACCAAAAATCAACCACTTCAGTACGATCTTCTAATGCTTGATTATGTTCTTCAATCACTTCCATTGGTTCTTTCAATAGATATTCTGCTTCAATTTCTTCTTTTTTACGTGACGCTTCTTGCTTTGTTTTCTCTTCACTTCCTTCCTCTTAGAGCCACCATCATCACAGGCCAGCAACATCTCACCAATTTGTTCTTGATTTTGTTTATCAACCACTTTGGTACGATCTTCTAATGCTAGATTCTGTTCTTCAATCACTTCCATTGGTTCTTTTTTACGTGGCCTACCCGCTTCTTGCTCCATTTTCTCTTCACTTCCTTCCTCTTAGAGCCACCATCATCACAGGCCAGCAACATCTCACCAATTTGTTATTGATTTTGTTTATCAACCACTTCAGTATGATCTTCTAATGCTTGATTATGTTCTTCAATCACTTCCATTGGTTCTTTCAATTGATATTCTGCTTCAATTTTTTCTTTTTTACGTGGCCTACCCTGCTTCTTGCTCCGTTTTCTCTTCAGTTCCTTCCTCTTAGAGCCACGGCTAGAGCCAGGTTTTTGTTTCACAATTGCACCAGCAAGCAAATAAGAATTACTGAGAGTCAAAACAATCTCACCACTCACACAAAGCTTCCCAAGATGATGATTCAAGAATGTAGAATGTGCCCTTGGCAATTCATTATACTCCTTTCTAATAAAATTCAATATTGACTCTTCACTAGAACCACCTTCCTCATTCAACTCCTCAATCGCCTTATGATACATGTATCATCTGCACAACATGACACCACCGAAAAATCAATCAACATGCAATGTACACTATACTAAATTTTTTTTTTTTTTTTTCATAAATTATTTTTGGACGGCTTTTTCGTTTCTTATCTCCTATTACACTTTTATTTTTATTTTTATTTTTTATTTTTGACTTGCATGTTAGTAGGTCTTCGATGTAAGTGTTCAAACCATCTAAGTTTACTGCCACCCTAATTTTACAAGCTCTTCCATTAGTGGTCATATCTTTTCTAGTAACTAAGTGTAACGAGTCGGGTACTTCGCGATCCGACTCAAAAGCTTAAATTGTTAGGTAGGTTAACACCCAACCCATTTATAGCTATTTACTTTCCTATTCAGATTTGATATAGGACAAGCTTTCCCTTGTAACGCTAGGGCTCTAAATGAGCTAAGCTTAATGATGTTCAAGCCATGCTCAGGCGTTCAAGCTCAGCTCAACATTGTTTGGGCAAACTTGAGCTCGGCTCAGTGACCAATATGTCGATTTCGTGTTTATATATATATGTATATATATATTATATACATAAATTCACTACCATATCATTTAACTGTGGAATAACTCACCACTGAACTACATAGATGTCAGATCTGCACCATCTTCATTCTTTTTACACAATCAGAAAGAAATCAAGATGCTTTTTAGATCTATTGCATTGGAACTTGCCTGTTTTTCAAACTATAGTTTAGTTAGTTGAGTGGGCTTCTGCTTCCTTTGCATCAAATACCATCAGACATGACGTTTGTAGAAGACTCATCCCTACAATTCTTTGGAATATTTGGAACAATTGACCATTTCACGAACACTCCCATTCAGATCCCTCCTCAAATTACAGAGAGAAGAAGACGTCGATGAAGTTTGAGAACACAATCAGGTATGCCTCAAAGGAAGGCCTACACAGAAACCAGACCCCGGATCAAGGGCCGGTCTGCAAAGAGAACAAGTGTAGAAGTTGAAAGTGGACCAGATGCTGTCTACAACACTAATGACAAGAACATGGATATGGCATTGTTCCATCATTCTAAATCCGACAATAACAGAGGAAAAAGAAAATCTTCATAAGAGAATTTTTGCTTCTTACAACTAGTGCTACAACTAATACATATCATTTTCAATCTAATAGTTTTTAAAATAATTAGTAATATATCTGCTTAGTAGTTTTGCATATTAATAACTCTGGTTCTTGTAAATATACATCATCTAGACATTTATTGTGCGCAGAGGTTAACTCGAAGAATGGGTAAAAACACAAAGGAATCAAAACCAACTCATATACAACAGCAACAAATTAACTAAGCCACGATTGCCAGTGACAAGAACACAGTTGAAGTATACTATGTTGCATAAACCAACCACTATGGTGTTGATGCTAGTCAAAAGTACAAAATTTCACTTACCACAGTTACTGTCCTTGAATTCCTTAGTCCATCTTTAGTACCCACACTTGGGCTGCAGCTGCTTCACTGAGTCTTCATATCTATACTGCTAGTTGGTTTGGGCTTAGGAGGCCTCCCTCGACGCTTTGGTTGTTCCTGCTGCTTCTTAGGCCTCCCCCAGCCTCGACGATTAGGAGCATTCCCTTGGCCTTGCAATGATGGCACTTGCTGCTCCTCCTGTTGGTGCTGATTAGCTGAAGGCAACACTACTGTAGCGGCTACAGTGTAGCCATATCAGGTTTTGGTTGGGGAATCCACATTTGGGCTTGGCACTCTGGTTGCTCATGCTGATGTTGTGAGGGCAATGATTCGGTCATTCTTGTAGCTTTGGGAGGTCGAGGCCACAATTGCCTGTGTTGTGGCTTCTCCTGTGTCAACTGCTCTAGCTGATCCAATTCTGCTACTGGAAGACCTAATTGCTGTTGTGGCTGCAGACCTAATTCTTTCTTTTCTTCTTCAATAATGGGCTCAAGAGACTCAACGGGCAGTACCTTTAATTTCCTACCATCACCCTTCTCACCATCATGATTTTGTTTGTCAACTCGATTTTGTTCTTCAATGACTTCCCTTGGTTCTTTCAATTGATATTCTGATTGCACCAGTTCTCTTGCTCGGCTTTCTCTTCGGTTCCTTCCTCTTAGAGCCAAGGCTAGAGCTAGATTTTTGTTTCGTGATTGCACCAGCAAGCAAATAAGAATTGTGAAGAGTCCAATCAATCTCACCACTCTAAGAAAGTTTCCTCAGATGATGATTCAAGAATGTAGAATGTGCCCATGGCAATTCATTATACTCCTCTCCAATAAAATTCGATATTGACTTCACTAGAACCACCTTCCTCATTCAACTCCTCAATCGCCTTATGTATCATCTACACAACATGACACCACCCAAAAATCAATCAACATGCAATGTACACGATACTAAAATATACATGCGAAAAGTAACAAACACACAGATATAATATATATCATATACGTAGTATTATATATTACAAACAAACAAAAGCAGAATTAAGTATGCCACGCCTCTGTAACCTTCCATTCTTCAACAGCCAAACCCAGATTTAAAATATTCCAACATTTAAAAAATAAGATTTTTTTTTTTTTTGCAAAGTAAATTTTAAAAATAAGAACTTGATTGTACTGTAACTCGAAGACCTACATATTTACTACTCTGTTGAAATTAATATCTATAATATTTGAAATTAAAATATAAAGAAATAATCGAATTCCAATTCCGCGCCTTAACCTTCCAATCCCCAATTGACAAACCCTCACTTTTTAAAATCTGAAATTTGGAAAACTAAGAATGATAGTGAATTCGATCTCTAAGCCTCCAATTTTATCATTTATGTATCGAAATCTTCAAAAAAAAAAAAAAAAAATCACACATACATACATATATATATATATATATATATATATATATATATATATATATATATATATATATCTCTGCATATATATAGTCATTGAAACTAAAAAAACAGAGAAATAATTACCACGGAGTAGGTTGGATGGTCATGAGTGCGAGTGTGGTCGAAGAACTCTCGAATGAGTTTATCGATGAGGCTTTTTCGGGCGTCCGTAAAGGGTTTGTTTGGGTCAGCGCTTGCCATTGCCATAACCGACGCTCTGAAATTTTTCATCGCCAACAAGTCCTCATTGATGTCTTTCGACATTGTTGGGTTTGTTTGAACAGTGTGAAGTGAGTAGGGTTTGGTAGTTCCGGTGGTTTGGGAATTCCTAGACCGAAAGAGAGAGATGCGTATATGTGTGTGTGTTGGCAGATGTATGAATTGATGGACAAGATAATACTGTATATGTTTGGAAGAGGAGTGCTAAACACGGTCGCATTTGCGACTGTAGATCCATGGTCGCACGGTTGCACCTGCCACTTTCTATTGAATATGAATTTAACTTTATATCTTTTTACAGTTGAGTTTTAAATGTATTTGACTTTTTTATTTTTTACGGTTGTGTTTTAAATGAAAGTGGCTCTGAATTAGTTAAAAAATAAATTGTAATTAGTGCGTCGTTCTTATTTTTTTTTTTGGAATTATAAAATTTCAACTTTATGACCAAATTACTTTTTTAAATTATTTTATCTTTCTTTATACCTAATAATCTTTCTTCTTTCTTTTGTTACATATATTTAACTTTATTATTATTATTATTTTTTAACAATTGTCTTCTTTTTTCTTGTCTTTCTTTCTTGGATATATATGGCTATACTTCATTCTTTACTTTCATTCTTTCTTTTTTGTTCACTTGTCTTATATATATATATATATATATATATATATATATATATATGTTCCACTTTGATGGATTTTTTATTAAATTTTTTGTAATTTAATTAAAATAACTGTATGATATTGAGGAGATTGAGTTTTAATTGAAGTAATATTATAAAATTTGAGTTTTAATTAATATATGAGATAAGAGAAGTATCGTTTTCCAATCTATTTACAGTATGGTTAACTACTACATATACATATATATATATATATATATATATGCATATATAAAATAAAATAATTGAAAAAAAAAAAAATAGGAAAGAAGCAATCAATTCACTAAAATTTATAATTTTTTTTGCTTTCTCTTTATCTAAAGAAGATGAATGAGTGAGAAACCATACACGGTGAACATATATATATAGTTAAAAACAATTGAAAGAGAGAGAGAAAAAAATAAGATAGGTAAATAAAGAAGAATGAAGGTTTTATATATATATACACAAGGACAGAAAAATAAATAAATAAATAAATAAATAAATAAGGATAATTTGGTTTTAAAAGTTAAAGTTTTATAGTTTCAAAAAATAGAAAAGAAGAATTAATTACAATTTCTATGATTGGGTTTTTCAACCAATTAGATGTGTCACAATTGCTTCCATTTAAAACACAACCGTAAAAAACGAAGAAGTCAAATCCATTTAAAATCCAACTGTAAGAAGATAGAAAGTTGAATTCATTTAAAGCTATCCAATAGAAAGTGCGACTATGTTTAGTAGTCCTCAAGTTTAGAAATAGAGGAGATCCTTCGTTCACTTTAAATTTGGATCTCATCATTTTGAACTTCAATTATTTTTGAGCCTGATTTGTATTATTTAAGTTAGCACATGGACTTATTAATGTTTACTACATAATAATATATTTGTAAATATAATATAAAAAATATATAATTAAAATAAATATATCAAAAAAAATATTTAGTAAATTAATATAATAATATTTCATATAAAATAATTATATAAATATAAACCTAATTTTATATTCCCGTTTTTGCACCCGCACTATCATTATGTGACTTAGTTCTGACTTCTGACACGGTGAGAAGGCACAATGATTACAATTAAAGTAAAGTATTAAAAAATATATTATTCTTCGAAACTTATTCATTTTGGGTAATTAAAATATATATATACATAAGAAAAAGAAATATATATAAGTGATTTCATGGATGATGATGATATAGATAAAATGAATAAAAATTAAAATTTTATATTATTTTTAAGGTAGGCTTGTTTTTACTTCCTAAGTTTATAAAAAAAAATAATAAACTAACGAGCCAGTGACCTAGAGGTATCAATTTTTTACTTTCTAAAGAGAAGTCAAGGGTTCAAATCTCAAAAGAGACAAGTGTGTGTAAATACCAAGAATAATAATAATAATAATAATAATAATAAAAAGGGTCCATTTTTGTTAGAGTATAAATTTTTTTGAAGACAGCATGTAATTAATGCATTGTTCGAGTTTAATTTTTATTTAGAAAAAATTAGATTATAATAATGACTAATTTTAACTAAAATTGATCTAAAGTCTTAATTGTTAAAGGAAAATTGAAATATTTATTACAGGAATAAAAATTTAATTACAATGATACACGCTTCTTTAGGAAGAATAGATATTGGGCGTGTCAGGTGCACCGTGTCTGTCGTCAACTCATTTAAGTCGTGCGTACACAACACATACGGCTCAGATGAACTCGGTACACGATGCGCCAGACACACCTAATACATTTTATATTGAGAAGGATACCAATTGTCCCGAGAGTATTCTATATTTTCTAGTCAATAAGACCTCATTCACAAAAACAATATTGCATAATTAAGAAATGAAAAGAACTAGATTTAATTAAAGGGAATGGTATATGAAATTCCTAAGTTATCCACCCCAATACTAGATGCAGGAAGGGATAACATTAGAAGTTGAGAAAAAAGCATTTTTTTATTGAATCCATCATATTCCTCAGTCCTCACTGTGGAAAATAAAATATTACATTTTTACATAAAATAACATATAAAGATAAATTAGATTTTGATACATCAACATGTTTGGAAATTAACATTCAGAACATGAATACCAACTAAAATGTAAATTTATTATAAAATAAACAATAATTAAAATATGAAAATTTTCAATTGGAAATTAAATGGAAATGAAAATAAAATTTTAATATATGACCATATAAAGGCATGGACTTTTTATTTTTTATTTGGAAGTTAAAGCAATTACACACACTCTGCCTCCACCGAAATTCGAACCCCCGACCTTCTCTTTAGAGGGAAGGGGTGATACCACTGGATTATTTGGTCCTTTGATAGGCATGGACTTCTAAAGTAGAGAACAGTGAGAAAATTAGAGAAAAAAATGAGAGAATTAAAGAATAAAATATAGCTTTGAGGACACTTTTAGTGGGGTTTTTACTCTAGGGTAAATAAAGGCAATTAAGGTTAAGTTCACACTTATTCTCTTCTTTTTCTGGTTCGTTGCTTCATTCATTAAACATGGACTCCTAAAGTAGAGAATTTATAAAATATAAAATACCATGTTAACACATGACGTAATGGCTGTGACTAGTAAATGACTAAACTACCCTTTCAAACCTTGATCTCTTGTGGATATTCCCTGTGAGGAAATAATTTGCTTGCATAGACGAGTAATGTGAATTTTTTTTTTTTTTTAGCAAAATGAATAATGTTCAGTAGTTCAAATATTAATGTAAAGAAACTGATTTGCATAAGCTTAACAACTATAATCGTTAGACCTTAGACATGTGTCATTAATTGAATAAAGGGTAAATTTAGAAACCTTTGAAGTTGTGGTCTAAATTTTGTTTAGACATGGCCCCTAATCTGCTCCTTAAAAAAAAAAAAAAAAAAACCTTAAACTCATTTTTTTCTTGTAACAATGGACTCGATTTTAGTACTCTCTTGTGACTAAATATATAATCACGTTCAAGGTTTGAGATGTACTAGGAGAGAGAACAATACTAAAAGTTGCAGTTTAGATATAAAGGGTTTTGGGGTTAAAATTTATAATATCTTATTTTTCGAATGGTAAAATTTTTCAACAAGTTTTTAATATACACATAGAGTACTTTACATTGAATTACATAAATCTTTGTGTTCCATATGCAGTATGTGTTTTCTTCTTCCTTCCTTTTTTTTTTTTTTTTTTTTTAGTGAAAATTTTCTTTATTAATGAATTATTTTGAAAAAATGCTTAAGATGCTTAAGGATCACTAAAGCAAAAGAAAGAATATCCCATTGGAACCTTGTACAAAAGGGCTTTTTTGGAACTCAACAAATCAACCCTATGTCCTAACCCATGCACTGTGTAAGTGTCTCTCCCTCCTATAAATACAAAGACAAACTAAACCTCATTCCATTGCACAGCCAAAACTTTAGAAAGAGAGGCTATAGGAGTATTTATGAGACCAACCACCACCATGACCACCACCACCAGCGGATTCCGGCGATGGAATTCACCGACACCTTACCTTTTTGGCGGCGTAGCCCTCATGTTGGGACTTATCGCGTTTGCATTGACAATCCTAGCTTGCTCATACAAAAAATCTTCTTTTACTCATCATGATCAGTCCTCAAATGAAGTTGAAGAAAAACCAGCCAAGCCCCAGCAAATACTGCAGCCGGAAATGGAGCAGAAGATCGTGGTCATCATGGCCGGAGACAACCACCCCACCTATCTGGCCAAGCCTGTCTCCTCTTCTCTCCATAGTGAACAAGTCTGATCATCTCATGCTTTTCACTTACAATACTATAGAAAATTCTATTATAAGTTTTTTTCCCTTTTCTCCTTTTTTTTTTTTTTTTTTTTTAATCATATACAAATTTAACTAGGACATTTTATAAAACAATTTTCTTTACAGAAAAATAAATAAATAAATAAATAATAACTAGGATAATTTAAATTGCGCATCATTATTTGGTTCAGTGGCAAGAGTCCAAACTGTCAAGTGAGGATGTGGTTTGAATTTGGAAACAATCATTTTGAATTGGGTGATTACCGGCTTCTAACTACGGGCAGTCCTAAACTTCTTGAAATAAGTAGGATTAATCGGGAAAAAAAAGGTCTATGTGTTGAACAGTAGAAGACCATTGTGGTCTAGTTTCATAACAAAAATATCACATTTTGAAGAGTAATGATAAAGAGCCCAAGTCGAACACATTCAACTAAATTTATGTGAGTAAGAAATGACATCATCATATTTAATAATATCATTTCTCACTCATATAGTAAGATACATTCAACTTTCATACTTCTTATCATTACTTATCATTAAAATACATCCAACTTTCGTATTACATCTCGTTATTTCGATTTAACTTGCAAAGCAACCCTTTCAAGAGTAGGACTTTTTGAGTAACAGACAATTACAACTACAACATCCAAAAAAACAAAAGACTACAGCCATAATTTTCTGATCTTTTAAAAGAAAAGTATGTGTATGTTTATATATATATATATATATATATATATATATATATATATATATAAGTAAATAAATGTTTCGAAATACTGGGTACAGTTTTAGATCTGTGTGCTCTAAACTGTGGGACTCGCAAGATTCTACGGTTAAAGTTGTGCAGTCTCGGAATACACAAATTCAAAGACTGATATTGTGTTAACCGTGACAGTCACAACTGCAAAGAGCAACTCTCATAAATGTTTCATGTCATTTGTTTTAAGTAAAGTCAATTGCCATTACTAAAGCAATTAATATTATTTATTACAAAATTGTGAAATCGAAACACCAAAAATTAAGTTAAATTAATTAAGCAACTTCTTTTCCAAAATGATCAACAACTCTAAATCAAACTCTCAACCTTCAGTCATCCCAATTAGTATATCTAATTTTAATACTATAAAGGACAGAATTAATTAATTAGCCAACTGTTTTTGACATTAAAGACAAGAAATTCATTTAAAAGTCTATAATGGATGAGGTTAATGACGGGCGTCGCGTCTCGAACATGTATTACACTAATTGTTGATTTGATGGCTTTTGCTAAAGTAAGTTAAAAGAGTGACTCCTTTTAAATGTGTCATATTAGTCCAGAGGCAGTTGAAAACCCCATCATATAATTTTGTGGCAGAAATGAAATCATAGGAACGGGATGACTACATGAATTTTTTCCATATTATTTTTGGATGGTTTTTTCGTTTCTTAACTCTTATTACAATTACCAGGTGTTCGATGAACAATCTAAGTTTACTCTCACCCTAATTTTACTCGCTCTTTCATCAGTGGTCCTATCTTTCCTAGTAACTAAGTGTAAGGATTAGGTACTTTGCGATCCGGACTCAAAAGTTTAAGCTGTTAGGTGGGTTAACACCCAGCCCATATATACATATTTACTTTCCCATCCGAATTTGATATAGGACAAGATTACCCTTGTCACACTAGGGCTCTAAATGAGCTAAGCTTAATGGTGTTCGAGCCATGCTCGACATATCTAGATAGGCGTTCGAGCTCAGCTCGACATTGTTTGGGCAAACTCGAGCTCGGCTTTACGCCTTCAATATTCATCAATCTGTCGATTTCGTGTTTATATATATATATATTATATACATAAATCCACTACCATATCATTTAAGTATGGAATAACTCCCCACTGAACTACATACATAGATGTCAGATCTGCACCATCTTCATCCTTTTTAGATAATCAGAAAGAAATCAAGATGCCTTTTAGATCTACTGCATTAGAACTTGCCTGCTTTTCAAACTATAGTTTAGTTAGTTGAGTAGGCTTTTGCTTCCTTTGCATCAAATACCATCACAAAGGAAGTTTGTAGAAGACTCATCCCTACAATTCTTTGGAATATTTGGAACAATTGACCTTTTCACGAATACTCCCATACAGATCCCTCCTCAAATTACAGAGAGAAGACGAGGAAGTTTGAAAATACAATCAGGTATGCCTCAAAGGAAAGCCTACACAGAAACCAGACTCCGGATCAAAGGCCGGTCTGCAAAGAGAACAAATGTAGATGTCGAAGTGGACCAGATGCTGTCTACAACACTAATGACAAGAACATGGATATGGCATTGTTCCATCATTCTAAATCCGACAATAACAGAGGAAAAAGAAAATCTTCACAAGAGAATTTTTGCTTCTTTCAACTAGTGCTACAACTAATACATATCATTTTCAAATTTCAATCTAATAGTTTTTCAAAGAATTAGTAATATATATGCTTAGTAGTTTTGCATCTTGATAACTCTGGTTCTTGTAAATATATGTCATCTAGATATTTATTGTGCGCAAAGGTTAACTCGAAGAATGGGTAAAAACACAAAGGAATCAAAACCAACTCATATACAACAGCAACAAATTAATTAACTAAGCAATGACTGCCAGTGACAAGAACACAGTTGAAGTATACTATGTTGCATAAACCAACCACTATGGTGTTGATGCTAGTCAAAAGTACAAAATTTCACTTACCACAGTTACTGTCCTTGAATTCCTTAGTCCAGCTTTAGTACCCACACTAGGGCTGCGTTTGCTGCTGCTGCTGCTTCACCGAGTCTTCAAGACTCTTCATATCTATACTGCCAGTTGATTTGGGCTTAGGAGGCCTCCCTCGACGCTTTGGTTGTTCCTGCTGCTTCTGTTGCTCCTGCTGCTTCTTAGGTCTCCCCCGGCCTCTAACATTAGGAGCATTTCCTTGGCCTTGCAATGATGGTGCTTGCTGCTCCTCTTGTTGGTGCTGATTAGCTGAAGGCAACAATTCCTGCACTACTGCAGCCATATAAGGTTTTGGTTGGGGAATCCACACTTGGGCTTGGCCCTCTGGTTGCTCATGCTGATGTTGTGAGGGCGACGATTCGGTCATTCTTGTAGCTTTGGGAGGTAAAGGCTGTAATTGCCTCATACTTGTAGCTGTTGTTGGTCCAGCTGTGGGAGGTGGAGGCCAAAAATGCCTATGCTGTGGCTTCTCCTGTGCCCACTGCTCCAGCTGGTCCAATTCTGCTACTGGAAGACCTAATTGCTGCTCCTCTTGTTGGTGCTGATTAGATGAAGGCAACACTACTGTAGCCATAACCGGTTTTGGTTGGGGAATCCACACTTGGGCTTGGCACTCTGGTTGCTCATGCTGATGTTGTGAGGACGACGATTCGGTCATTCTTGTAGCTTTGGGAGGTAGAGGCTGTAATTGCCTCATACTTGTAGCTGTTGTTGGTCCAGCTGTGGGAGGTGGAGGCCAAAATTGCCTATGCTGTGGCTTCTCCTGTGCCCACTGCTCCAGCTGATCCAATTCTGCTACTGGAAGACCTAATTGCTGCTCCTCTTGTTGGTGCTGATTAGATGAAGGCAACACTACTGTAGCCATAACCGGTTTTGGTTGGGGAATCCACACTTGGGCTTGGCACTCTGTTTGCTCATGCTGATGTTGTGAGGACGACGATTCGGTCATTCTTGTAGCTTTGGGAGGTAGAGGCTGTAATTGCCTCATACTTGTAGCTGTTGTTGGTCCAGCTGTGGGAGGTGGAGGCCAAAATTGCCTATGCTGTGGCTTCTCCTGTGCCCACTGCTCCAGCTGATCCAATTCTGCTACTGGAAGACCTAATTGCTGCTCCTCTTGTTGGTGCTGATTAGATGAAGGCAACACTACTGTAGCCATAACCGGTTTTGGTTGGGGAATCCACACTTGGGCTTGGCACTCTGGTTGCTCATGCTGATGTTGTGAGGGCGACGATTCGGTCATTCTTGTAGCTTTGGGAGGTAGAGGCTGTAATTGCCTCATACTTGTAGCTGTTGTTGGTCCAGCTATGGGAGGTGGAGGCCATAATTGCATATATTGTGGCTTCTCCTGTGTCCACTGCTCCAGCTGATCCAATTCTGCTACTGGAAGACCTAATTGCTGTTGTGGCTGCACACCTAATTCTTTCTTTTCTTCTTCCATAATGGGCTCAAGAGACTCAACAGGCACTACCTTTAATTTCCTACCATCACCCTTCTCACCATCATCAACTCGATTTTGTTCTTCAATGACTTCCCTTGGTTCTTTCAATTGATATTCTGATTGCACCAGTTCTGTTCCCTCCTGCTTCTTGCCCCGCTTTTGCTGCTTCTTGCTCGGCTTTCTCTTCGGTTCCTTCCTCTTAGAGCCACAGCTAGAGTGTTTCGTGATTGCACCAGGAAGCAAATAAGAATCGTGAAGAGTCCAATCAATCTCACCACTCTCAGAAAGTTTCCTCAGATGATGATTCAAGAATGTAGAATGTGCCCATGGCAATTGATCATTATACTCCTTCCTAATAAAATTTGATATTGACTCTTCACTAGAACCACCTTCCTCGTTCAACTCTCGAATTGCCCTATGGATCATCTACATGGCACCATCAAAAAATTTCATCAATCAACATGCAATGTACACACACTACTAACACACAAAAAGAGCAAGACACACACGCCTCTGTAACTCTATTCTTGTTCAAAGTCTCTGAATTATTTTTCCAATTCAGAAAATTATGGTATTTTTTTCTTTTCTTTTTTTCACCTCAAAACAAAACAAATACAAACATATGGATCTTCACACACAATCCCTAATTTTTAAAACAAAAAATAATCCCAGCTAAAAGTTCATCTATGATCTTTACCAATATATATATATATATATATATATGTAGTCGTTGAAATTAAAAATTGAAAAGAAATTACCTGAGAGTAGGTGGGATGATCGGGGGTGGCCGTGTGGGTGAAGAACTTTCGAATGGCTTCATCAATTAGACTTTTTTGGGTCTCCGTTAAGGGTTTGTTTGAACACAGGCTTGCTTTTTCCCGAACAGCCATTCTAAAATTTTCCATCGCTAAACACTCCTGGCTGTCTTTCGACATTGGTTCGTAAGACAGTGAACACTTCACTTCGACTGTAGATCGATTCTGAAATTCTAATTCGCTTATTTGAACGATTAACGATGAGAGAGAACACACCTCAGGGAGAAACTAATGATCGATTTGGTGTCCATTCTTATTGGAAAAAATATTGACGCTGATAGGAGATTAGAGTTTCCTTGATAGATTTGGTTTCCTTGACTGATTATGGTTCCTGGCATATATATATATATATATATATATATATATATATATACACAAAACTTGCTAATTTCTAACAATTAAAATCAGGATTAGGATCTCTTTAATAAACGGTACGGTATAAGGTATGTAATTTAAAAAGGTAATTTAAAAGATTAAAAAAAAAAAAAATCAAAATATCTCACCGTTGGTTACTTCCTTTTGTTTTTTAAATTACCTTTAAAAAAATTATACCCTAAATTGCGTTATTTATACTAATCCAATAGGGTTTGTTTGGTTAGATATAAATTTGGTTAGCAAGAAAATTTTTGTGAAAAAATATTGTTTTGTAAGTTTGGAAATAATGAAAGTGAAAAGATATTGTTTTCTGAGTTTGGAAATAGTGAAAGTGAAAAGAAAGTAATTATAATTCTCAAAATTACTTTGTACTTTTAATTATAAAATTACTTTGTACTCTTTTGAAATAGTATCATATCTCCAAAATTATGAACAAAATTAAAATTTTAAGTTTAAAGATAAATTAATGGACATTATAGTATTTGTCTTCGTTTAATAATTAAATATATGTGATTATAGGTACAAGTTTAATTAATAAAAAATTTTGATCCGAATATTCTTGAGGACAAAAGGTTGAAGTTAATATACATACTTTTAGTCAAAAAAAAAAAAAAAAAAAAAAAAAAAAAAAAAAAAAAAAACTTCAGTCTAATAGAAATAAAATACTTGTAACTAAATTAGTTTGGTACATATAATATACGTAGAGTTAAAACTAAATTAATTTGGTATATCTAATATATGAAGAGTTAAAATTAAATGAGTTTGATATATAAAATTAAATGAGTTTGATATATTTCAGTAGTGAGTCCTAAAGTCATGAGAAGTCTATATATAAAAATATATATATATGAATTAAATTATAATTTAAAAACTTGTATACGTAAAGATACTAACCTAATTTTTTATCTAATATTTTGTTACTAAATACTTAGATTTATATATATATATATATATTACTCTCAATCATTATTAATTGTGGAAGGAAAAAAATAAAATAAAATAAAATTTTAATTTTGATATAAAATTATATACAATTAAATTAATATTTACATGATCTTATAAGCAATTTACAAAAGAATAAAACTAACTTGTTATAAAAATTTGTGAAAAGTGAGAAGCTTGACATAGACATAATAAGAAATTAAGATGTGAATGCACCCCTTTCATGAAAATGTAAAATTTTCCTACTCAGAAAAATTTTGAAAAAAATTAAGTAGTTACAAAAAAAAAATTACTTTTCTGAAAATTTTCGCTACTTATTTCATGCTAACCAAATCCACAGTGAAAGGCAAAACACCGACAGTAAACAGGTTAAAATTGAACCAGGTAAATTTTTGTAATGGGTTTATATTTCTTAATTGGGATGTTGGTTCATGGCGTTTGTCAGCAAAGCCTAATCGACAAATAAGCTTCCCAATAAATTAATGAATTCTTTTGAAAAAAAATGCTTAAGGATCACTAAAGCAAAAGAAAGAATATCCCCATTGGAAACCCTGTCGAAAAGGGCTTTTTTGGAACTCAACAAATCGACCCTCTGTCCTATTACATGCACTGTGTAAGTGTCTCTCCCTCCTATAAATACAAAGATTACTAACCCTCGTTGCATTGCACTGCAAAAAACTTTAGAAAGAGAGGCTATAAGAGTTATGAGGCAAACCACCACCATGACCACCACCACCACCACCACTGAATTCCGGCGATGGAATTCACCGACGCCCTACCTCTTTGGCGGCCTAGCCCTTATGTTGGGACTTATCGCTTTCGCATTGGTAATCCTAGCTTGCTCATACAAAAAATATTCTTCTACTCATCATGATCACTCCTCAAATGAAGTTGAAGAAAAACCAGCCAAGCTCCTGCACATACTGCAGCCGGAAATGGAGCCGAAGATTGTCGTCATCATGGCCGGAGACAACAACCCCACCTACCTGGCCAACCCTCTCTCCTCTTCTCTCCATAGTCAACAAGTCTGATCATCTCATGCTTCACACACAATACTACTATATAGAAATTAGAAAACTCTCTATTAGTTTTTTTCCTTTTTTCTTTTTCTTTTTTTTTTTCCTCTTCTTTTCTTTGCTTTTGGTCTATGATAGTGGTTTTTCACAGACCTGATTTTGGTTGTTTTTGTTAGAGTTTTCGGGAATGTAAATTGATGAGTATAACATAACATGTTATGAATTATCTCATAAATTACGTTGGATTTGTCCTCTAATATTCTTTTTCTTCTCTTTGATGAGTATATTAACAAATTTTAGTCAAGCTAGCTCTTAATTTTTTTTTTCTTAAGGAGTGCTCATATTACTACTTGCTAGTTTAGAAAATATGAGCATTGAATTACAGGGAAAAAAAAAAATGTTAAAAATTAGGGGGGAAATAGATAATTAATGATTATTTCTATGTAGTTTTAAGAATGTCAATGATTATTAATTAGTCTTGGGATAAAAAAATTCTAAATCATATAAAAAATTAAATTGCAACAATTTAATCTGCCCATCATTATTTGGTGCAGTGGCAAGAGGCCAAAACTGTCTAATGAGAATATCATTTTGTGAAAATATTGTCAAATGTTAAGTTCACCATTGAGTACGTCTTAACACCCACGATTAAGAAGCTTCTAACTAATGAACTTTAATAATCTTTAAAAAGTGCAGTAGTACCATTTATTTACAATTTAATGTCTTTTCTTTTTTCCGAAAAGAAAGAGATTACCGTTTTTAGTAACAGACAATTATATATATATATATATATATATATAAGGGAGTGCAGTTTTGGATTTATATATTTCAAGTTTAAGGACACACAAGATTTAACAGTTGATATTGTGCAATCTTGAGACTGATATTGTGTCAATCGTGACAATCGCAACTGCAGATACTTCACATTAATACAAAAGTGAGAAATTGAAGCACGTAAGATTTAAATTTAAATTAGGTAGGCTTCTTTTCCGAAGTGATCAAGAACTCTAAATCAAACACTAAATCTTCAAGTAATCATCCCAATTAGCATATCTAATTTTAATACTATAAAGGACAGAATTAATTAATTAGCCAACCGTTTTTGACATTAAAGACAAGAAATTCATTTAAAAATCGATAATGGATGAGGTTGACGATGGGCGTGGCGTCTCGAACATGCGTTACATTAATTGTTTGTTTGATGGCTTTTGCTAAGTAACAAGTTTGGGACAATATAGTAAGTTAAAAGAGTGGACTCCTTTGAAATGTGTCATATTAGTCCAAAAGAAGTTGAAAACCCGCCACATCATCTCCTTTCGTGGCAGACATGAAATCATTTTTTTTTGACAATTTTTTTTGTTTGGCTCTCGTTGAAGTTGACAAAATCTGACCCAGTTAAGCCTCACTCTTTCTCTCTCATGGAGAGTGTATGTGTGTATCTCTATATTTGTACCATATCAAATTTGGATTCGGATGGATATAACATTATTTAATAATTTAAATTTTTAAGTAAATAGGCAAATACTCATCCGTTATAGTTGATATCATAATTAGATTCAGTTCTTGATCCGATATCACGCCAAGCGCTTAATCTAAAAAATGGTGAGTCACTTGGGTGGACAAGGTGGCCCAACTTCAACGAGGGTATTGCGAGTTCGGATGGGAAAGTATGTTAAGAAGAGAGATTTGTCACGTATCAAATCTGACGTGATTGAGTGATTGGGTATAAATAAGTAAATATACAATACTACCTAATAACTTATCCTTTTGAATAAATAAGTAAGCACTCACCCATTACACCAGTCACATTAACAACAAGGGTAAAATGATACAATAATTTGTTAAATAGATTTGATATGTGGCTGAAATCATGATCATTGCCATGCATGGAGTTTTCAATCCTGTCCAACAGTTTATTTTAATTTTAATTTTTATTATTATTATTTTTTTCTCATGCCAAAATTTGTAGCTCCAACAAATTTGAAACCAAGATGATGGTTCAAGGCTTATTGAAACAGGTTTGAAGAGAGTTTATAAACCCTTTACTTAATAAATTTGCTTGATTTTCCAAAAATAAAATAAAATAAAATAAACCTTGTAAAATTTCGAACCCATCCCCATTAATAATTAATGTATAAATAAATATTCTTTTATTAGTTATAATTTTTCTTTTTCTTATTCCTTATGATAATTTTAAAATTTAATAACTTTTTATTACTATTATTGTTAAATATTTGACTATACCTGACAAAAATTTATAAACTTTATCTTAAATTTGTTCAAATTTAAATTATTATTTTTTTAAAAAAAATATGTATCGAACCTACCCTTTAACTTTGTTGTGGGACATTCCGAACCCGACTTGATAACATCCCTAGTAATTGATAAATTGATCTAATTAACTCGAGCAATCTCTCTATCTCCTTTTGTAGACATTTCAAGTTTCCTTAGAAGTAATAATAGGTGTGTCATATGAGTATTTGAGTAACTTATCTACTAAATAAAAATAATAATAATAATAATAATAATAAATTAGGGGAAAATGAAAAATGTGTTTAAAAAAATGTTAGATTATGTGGGTGGGTGGATCTGGGACCGCTTTGAGGTCTAGAAAACGAAAGCTGTAGACAATAAAATATTGGCACTAAAAGTGGTGTGTGGATGAGAAGCTTTTGTGCAGCACCACACTATTTTTTTTTTTTTAATTTTTTAGCAAAACAAACACACATACTTTTTTACAGGTTTCGAACTCCTCCCCTCTTCTTTATAAATAGGGTAACGCACACCAAACTTACAAGCCAGAAAAAGTAACAAGATTTCCCATGAGATTCACAAAAATGCAATGAATTTGAGTCATGAAATAAACTCTAAAAAAATATATATATATATATGATTTTTAAATCAATGGAGTAAATTGAAATCAAGTACCCAATAAATAAGGTCATCAGATGCATTAAATTGGAACACATTTCGATTTAATGGTGGACTCAACTGAAATCAAGTACCGAAAAACTTAAAGTTATTAGATTCATTGAATTGGGACACATTTCAATTTAAGACATTTAATAATGAACTGAACTGAAATTAAGTATCGAACAATTTAAGGATGTTAGATTCATTGAATTGAGACGCATTTCGATTCAAGACATTTAACGATAGAGTGAACTGAAATGAAGTACTCTCTTCGTCTCTTATTAGTAGTCCATTTTTCTCTTTTTACATGTCCCAAATTAGTTGTCGTCCTTGAAAAGTCAAAACATCTTTTTTTATATTTCCATCATTGTTCTTTATCTTTTTAAAAAATTTCAAACTTTATAACTATATATATTTAAATTAAAAAGGATAATTTGATAATTTTAAAAGGGGACAATGCATTAATTTTATGTCCCCTTAAAAAGTTATAAAATCAAGAATGGATCATTAAAAAGGGACGGAAGATCCTTAGATGCATTAAATTGAGACATATTCCCATTCAAGATATTTAATGAGCTTTAGTTGTTCAGTGTGTGATTTCAATTCAACCCTTTAGTGCTAAATCATTTGACTTCTATATTTAAAGACATTGATCTTATGTTTGGTGATATCAAATCAGCACCTTAAATTTAGGATTGAAGAAAATTTAGTACAAATTTTAAATTAAATTTCTTTTAATCCAAATTCAAAACACTGTTCAATACTGTCAAACATGACATGAGAATATTTGATTCAATAAAGTTTGTAGAGATAATTTGGTGAAAAAAAAAAAAAAAAAAGTTTTTAAGAGAAGGAAGTCAATGAACATTAATACTCCAATTTAATAGCCAACTTTTGTGTTCTAACAGCCAAAAAGGATAAAATTCTAAGCAGTAAAAGGGGTTGAAATGCCACCCAAATTATAAATTACTTAAATCAAATTGATGGAAAAAAAAAATGTAAAAAATTTAGCACAAATGCACACTCCACCAGAACCTACCTAGGTGATCACCTGATAAATGTGATCAAAATTATCCATGGGGAACACTTCATGTTCCCACAGATTAATGATGAACTTTAAGAAGGATTTTGTAAAAGGGTCCTAGCACTGAATAATGGGAAACATTGAAAAATGAAACTCAACACATATTTTACTTTTCCACGTTTCAACATGGTCCAAAAAGCACCAAGGAATGCTATAGTGGCGGGAATGGAGGTGGTTTTTGAAATCATTTTATCTTTTTTTTTCTATCTAGCGGTCTTTAACCTTTAATCTTAAAGTTGAGAGTATACGCAAACTCATTAGGACAAAAATAGCTCAGTGTACGATAAATTCATAACAAGTATATTATATTTGGAAACATTTGAATTTAGAATCGGAAATTTTTTAATTAAAACTTATGTTTCCACTAATTAGCACTAGATGTTTGACTTTTTTATTTATTTATTTATTTTCTTTCTTTGCTCTCGGTTAAAAAGTTATTTTTTGTCTAGCTTGTGAGATACATGGAAACTATACTGTCAAGCACAGATATTTTACCTATGTATCCAAAAATATTCTTAATCCAGGAGCCAGTACTCTGTTTTTGTCTTTATCCTGTATCTCAGAAACAGTTTGAAAGTATACCAAAACAATTTAAACAGAATAGTTACATGAGGAGGATGAACACAAAAATGAACAAGGAGAAAACAATAATGTGTCTTTAATGGTAATTTTTCCTCCGATTGAATTTAACGAGGTTATTTAAAGGAAAAACCTCAGGAGGCCCTTGCCATTAGGGAAAAAATATTCTATACTCCGGAAATGACAGTTCTGTAATACCCTAGCCAATAAAAACACCATATTTCTCTTGATTTTAGAAAATAACAAATTAACATTGTCTGTGGTATTATATTCTCGATACTCATAGGGTATGGAATACTTTTTCGTCATTGCGGGGTCTAGAAAGTGTTAGATGTACGTAGTCTTACCTCTGCATGGAGAGGCTATTTTCAGTTTTGACACGGTAACCACCGAGTCACAATAGAACAATCTTACCTTTGCATCAAGGCTCACTTCAATATATTGAACTTATATCTCACTGCTAAAGGAATATAAAGTTTACCAAGCTAGATCGCTTTTCCTATTCGTCACTGCTAAAGGAATATAAAGTTTACCAAGCTAGATCGCTTTTCCTATTCGTCACAAAATAGGAAAACATGGTATTTTTTATTTTAAAAAAAAAAGGGTGTATGTGCATTATTCCCAATACCCCGGGGCATAGAATACTTTTTCATCATTGTGGGGTCTAGAGTTACATATTCGTAGCCTTACCTCTGTATGGAGAGACTATTTTCAGTTTCGAAACGGTGACCACCAAGTCACAATAGAACAACCTTACCATTGCGCCAAGACTTATTTCAATAAAATGAACTTATTTCTCACTGCTAAAGGAATATAATAAAGTTTACCAAGCTAGATCACTTTTACTATTCATCATAGGATAGGAAAACATGGTATTTTTTATAGGAAAAAAAAAAAAAAAAAATGGTGGGTACCAGGAACAGAAGGAACTTCTGAGGACACAAGCTCTCATTCTTCTTTCTATTCTGTGTTATGGCACCATTAAAAGGGCATGCCTTTCTGAAGAAAATTTGCTAAACATTCCCCAAATAATTAACTTTACAATGCAGAAAAGAACTAGCTAGTATGATCAAATCTCATCTTGGGTTTAGGAATAGTACTTTTTTCCACTTTTCCAGGTATGAGCAGTAATTTCATTTTTCTAAAACAAAGTATTTTTTTTCATGTCAGATAATGTTAGGCCGCGGCTCCGACAAACCTGATGCCAGTAAACCCAAGTAAAAGGGCAAGAACAAGAAGGGGGAAGAAAGGAGCAGCAAGAAAGAGAAAGATGGTTGCAAAGCCAAGCCTAAAGCGGATGGACCATGGAACTTTTAATCAGGTTTATCCCGAGTCCTGAAACCCCCCCGCCTCGATGCGACGACAGGTACATCTAATGATTTACCAAGAGATTAATGATGGCAAAGGAGAATAATTTTCCAAAAAGATCTTGGCACTGTGTATAATGGGAGACATTTGTGTATAATTTTACATTACTTTTGCACGAATTTCGTTTCGAAAGAACATATCCATGGGATATTCCTGGTCATATCAGTCTTCCCATCAGAAATAATATCAGTAAAAAAGTGTGCACACAGTTATGAACATAAACCATACCCTCAATAAAAACAAATTCTATTAGAGCTAATTTTCAGTTCTGGAAGAATTCAATAGCTATTTTAACCAAAACCAGTCGAGCTACCAACAGGTTTTCAACAGTACAATAATAACTACAACTGTAATGTAATATTCAAAGCAACGAAATTTTTGCTACTCAGGCTATAAGGAGCATTTACCTGTTCTGTCCGCGACAGCATGGTCCTGCAAAGGAAGGACTTGAGACAGACCTAACATTTATTATTTTAGTGGATTTATTAGATAAAAGTTAAAGTGATTTTAGCGGACTCGGAAGCTCGGAGATGAAAAGCGGGGCAATGATGACCTAGATGAATAATTTGGAAAAAAGTGTTAGCACTGTGAATAAATTGGACACACTTTGTGCTCATAGTTCTCTGTAGCTCTTTAAAAAATTCTCTGGTGGAGATTTATCACAAGATTCACAAGTATATTCCAAGGCATATCAGCTTAACAATTGTGAAGACTGCGGCAACAGAAGCTTAGGATCAACAAGTCTACAGTATAGGAACAGCAGAAAACGAGCTCAGATTAACCTTTATTTATTTATCTTCTTTCTTTTGTTTTGAGTAATTGGCACACAAAACATGCTATTAAAATCATGACATGAATGGCAATTGCAATTGCAATTGCAATTGCAATTGAAATTTATAATCACATACTATATGCAAGGCACAATGAATATAAAGATGTTTTATATATGGTAGTTGTCCAAATATGCAGGAACTTATGCCTGCATCAAAAAAGGATCAAATAACTGACAAGCTTACATCTCTCTCGTACGATCTGGGAGAGGAATTTGATCTCTAATTAATTTAGCTTCTCCCTCTATTAATTTAGCTTATTCATGCTTTATGCTTCCGTCTTTTAAATTTTTTTTATTTTTTATTTTTTAAATTATGCAACAACCCCATGTGTTCTTAGCTTGTATCTTTACCTGTCGCCCACCTTTGGCGCTTGCCTGACATGTATCAGTTTGCGTCTGATACATGTTCGTATAGGACACCATTAAGCCGTCAAAGTAGAGATGCCAGTTATTCCAAGAGCGTAATATAGACATATACACATATATAAAAGTTTAGAGGTTACCACATCAGATCACATTGAAGGATTTGGGGTAGTGCTAAGGATGGAAATTTCAGATTCGAAAATAAAGAAAACATGACCAGGCCAGTCTTATGTTTGCCAACCCAAACAGAACATGAGCAAAGTTTACAATTTCGTAATTGTGTGAAATAAATATACATTTTCTGTGCCGGAATTCCACCCCAATTTTACTGGTGGAACTTGCAAATAAATATGTGATTCAGAACATGCACCAACGCATTAAAATGTGAGATACATGAACACCTAAGCATGAAAGATAAGTGAAGAAGAAAGACGTAAACAATATCAGGATGTTGAAACAAAATTATAGCAATTGAAATAAAAGGCATTAAAGAAAACCAACGAGAGAATGAGAAATCCTTGTGATATTTCCTTGTTCAACATTACATAATGCAACAATAGGCCCCCACAGAGACCAACAGATGCTTTCATAAACTAGAAAGGGACATCAAAATATTTAATATAAGTTTAAACATCTATCAAAAGCAGAGCATTGTTGCCAAGTAGAATCACAACAAACAAAACCAAAATAAACTCTGAATACTTGAGCAAGATAGGAAAAGATCTTCTACGAATATGGTTTCACCAAATGCCGTTGGTGTAAGCTCTTCCCGGCACCAAATTCTAAGTAGAATTTATTAATTTAAGAGATTGTTTGATTGAGAGAATACCACCAAGAGAAGATTTAATTCTTTGACAGTTTGGCAATTTTGAACCATTCGGTATGGAAGGATCCTTCCACGTCAGTCCTTTCATATGTATGAGCACCAAAGTAATCTCTTTGAGCTTGGACCAAATTTGCAGGCAATCTATTTCTTCTATAAGTGTCAAAATATGCAAGACTAGAGGACATACCCGGGGTGCTAATGCCCGAGTTGATAGCAAGACACACAACTCTTCGCCAGGCGAACTGACGCTCAATGATTTCCTTTGAAAACTCTGGGTCCACCAGAAGATTTGCAAGGTCTGGGTTTCTATCGTAGGCCTTCTTGATTCGGTCCAAGAAGATGGCTCGGATGATGCAACCCCCCTTCCAAATCCTAGCCAATTCCCCCAACTTCAGATTCCATCCCTGCTCGATGCTCTTTGCACGAATCAGATTCATCCCCTGTGCATAACTACAAATTTTGGATGCATAAAGAGCTTTCCGCACATCATCGATCAACTTCGCCTTGTCCACAACCTGGTCAGTTAAGATGTCACCAAAACCACCTGATTTAAAAATTTTGGCAGCTTCTACCCTTTCCTCCTTCAACCCACTAAGGAACCTTGAATCCAAAGAAGATGCAATTGTGGGAGCCGCAACCGATAAATCAGCAGCTTGCTGAACGGTCCATTTTCCAGTACCTTTCATGCCGGTTTTGTCCAAAACCTTGTCAACCAAATCTCCATCGCCTTTGTCATCCTTAACTCCAAAAATATCTTCAGTGATTTCGATCAAGAAGCTCATAAGCTCCCCTTTGTTCCATTCTGAGAATACATTTTTTAGTTCCTCATTCGACAGCTTTCCCACAGATTTCAGCACATCATAAGCCTCTGCAATCAGCTGCATGTCACCGTACTCGATCCCATTATGCACCATCTTAACAAAATTGCCAGACCCTCCTTTGCCAATGTAAGTCACACAAGGACCGCTATCAGGAACTTGAGCTGCCACCTTGAGAAGAATGTCTTCAATGTATTTGTACGCCTCAAAGGAGCCTCCAGGCATCATAGAGGGTCCACGTCGGGCACCCTCTTCACCACCAGAAACTCCCATCCCAAGGTAGAGAAGACCCAATTCAGCCATGGCTTTCTCCCTCCTCTCAGTGTTTTCGTACCACTCATTACCACCATCAATGATACAATCACCTTTCTCCATGTAAACAGAGAGGGTCTTGATGGTCTGGTCAACAGGTGCCCCAGCCTTGACAAGCATAATAATCACCCGAGGTTTTTGGATGGAACGAACAAATGATTCAGGATCATGGAAGCCAATCAAAGGAAGATTTCCTTCCTTCTTAGCTCGTTCAACAGTCTCATCAACTTTGGAGGTCGTTCGATTATAAACGGAAATGGGAAAGCCTTTCTCAGCAATGTTAAGGGCCAGATTTTGGCCCATGACAGCAAGACCAGCAAGGCCTATTCTTGTTAGGTCCGGGGAGGAAGCCATTCTTTTGCTGTTCAAAGTAGTATTAAAAGTGAGAAATTTCCAAAATCGGAATAAAATTAACAGAGGTATGACTAATGAGACCCTTAGTGAAGAAGGTCTCAAGTTTTTCAACAGAAAACTAACAAATGTCACCACTCGTGTATCTAAAGAAAATTTTAGAGTAATTGCACAACTAGTGGTTGGGATGATCTTTTATTATTAAATTAGAAGTAACCCCGTAATCATAACACTAACAGAGCAAGTTTAAAGGAAAGAGGAAGGGGAAAAAAAAGAGCTTAAATAGAAGAAGGAAAAATGAGCGTGGTGCATTGAAATGGTAATTTAGAAAGCCTCTGGTACCACCCCAAACATCCTATGTCTGTTCGAATATCCCTTCCCTGAGTGTCCTCTGTCTATCATCCAAGGTGAACAAATAACTTCCCGTTATCATGTGATTCCCAAAAGAGAAGAACGATAAAACTTCTACCAGCTATCAATGAGGAATTTCCATTTCCATTTTTCATAATTCTGATATTAAAAGTCTTCAGTTAGAAGAAAAAATCAGATCTCTCTTTGCATAGAAGATATTGTTAGTCCGTAAAAACAAATCAAGGGGATCATGAAGCAGCTACGGACCAACTTAAATGACAAATCACATAGAGATATTGCAGAAAATTTTCACAGAAATAACTATCTTCTTCAGTCGAATAATTTGAAAAATATTCAGGAAAAATAAAATAATATAAAAAATGAAAGTACCTGCCCATAATCTCCTTAACTATTAAAAATCCAATCCTAAATAGAATACTAAATCTGACATTATAAATAGTGTAAAACTAAATCATCAGTATATCCTATAGCCAAAATAATCTAATATTCTAAGAAACTTCCTTCCCAATACAAGATTTTCCAATAATTTCTAGGCCACCTACTTCTCGCCAAAATAATTAAAAATATATATATTATAATCCTCCTAAGCATATGATACCAGACATTGGAGTAACAAATAGTAAAATATTTGAGCGGTTCATGATGCATAGAGTAAATCAGATCTTCTAATGATGTAAATCAAAGAGAGACACCCCCGGATTCAGAACCAATAATATCAAATAACAAGATATACAAAAACTGAAAGCCATAGAGTTATAGAGACCAATAATAGAATCTTGGAATTTAGGTACATCAGATCCTCTAATTATGTAAATCAAATAGGACTCACAGCTCCAAGAGCCATCAATTCAAAAACAAAGAGACATCAAAATCAAAAGCAATCGAATTACAGAAATTTAACTGAAAAAAACAATTGATCAGCTATATAGTAAAATCGAAAAATGAAAGATTTTTGTTGTTTTGATGCCCAATAAAACATAAAGATCAACTCCAGGTGTTTTTTTTTTTTTTTTTTTTTTTCCCTCAATATAATGTAATAACCAAGTCAACTAAGTCTTACAGATCTACATGTAAAGAGTTCATTTTTTTTCTCATTTTCAGTATCAGTAAGACTTCAAATTTCTAATCATTTTCTTTTATTCAATTCTTCAGAAATCAAACAGAGTCAAAGCAAAATATGTGAATGAATCAAATCTATAGCTTTCAAAGCCCCAGATTTCGTAATGAACATAAAAATAGGTCAACATCACAGGAAATAAAAAATAAAAAAAATATATGAACATCTATAAATCAACAACATACAAGAAATAAGTATTCAAGTCAACAAAGAATAAGAACTTTTGAACATTCTCATATGTGGGAATTAATGTGGCACATTACATAGTTCAATGATCCTAAAAAGTTCAAGATTTTCTTTTTATAGCCATCAAATTTCTGCGCAACCAAACAAAAAAAAAAAAAAATCGAACAGTTCTATAAATTACCCCATAAAGAGAAGAAATCAAACCTGCTTGTATATCCTATAATCAGTCAACAAGCTGATTGAATTGGCTTCAGAGACGGTAAGAACCCAGGAAAATAAAGATCTGCGATTTTCAGAGAAAAAGTTAGATTGGTTAATAATACTAACAATCCAATGAAGAAATCACGAGTAGAATCTATAGTCTTACCTCTCAAGCGGGTCAGAATTGGCAACCGTGTTAGTTGGGATGAGATGGTTGGTGGACTGCGTACTTATTAATTTATTATCATTTATTAATTTATTTTTTTTGCCCTTTCATATATATATATATATATATATATTCCTTAATTTATATATATATATATATATATAGTAGAATTTGTAGTGTGTGTGTATATATATTATAGCGTGTGTATATTATTGTGTGTATATATATATATATTTTGTAGTGTTGGACCTTTTAGATTAATTTATCACTGTAAACATGCAATCTCGCCATAAAAAAAATTTACTTAGCGAATGGTGTCAACCGAATTCAATTTTCAGAACTCTAAATTACGGAAAAGTTTATTATTATTTATTTTTGAAAATTTAATTAACAAAAAATTGCATGAAAGAAAAATTTGATGTAGAATGATATTTCCTGGCTGTATTTGAATTTTATATGTGTGTGTGTGTATATATTGTAAAATTGTTGATGGGTCAATTTTAAAAAACAAAACAACAACACAATCTTTGATGGATCAATTTAAAAAAAAAAAAAAAATTTGACAAATGGATACTCCTCACCACTTTTGTGGTCCACTGACGCAAAACGACACATGTTTAATTACAAAGTTAGTATTAAAAGTGAGTCGTAGAGGTCGAATTTAGTATTAGTACTGGACGATCACGATCACGTATAACACGATCATGTAAGTGATTATGACTATTTATTGCAATACAAGAGACGTGTTATATTGCATAATATCTAAACTCTATTTTGTAACAACAATCGCACTTGTGAATGCTAAAAGTTGTATCATTTGGACAATCAGATGATTTATCTTAAAGTTCTGCTATATAAAATTGAATTGTTCATTTTCCAATGGTGTGCTGCTCACAAGGACTCGTTTGTCTTTTCCCACTTTATAATATGAAATATTATATTCATTTCTCTTTCTCTTTCTCTTTCTCTTTCTCTTTATGCAATGTTAATATTTTTCTTTGGTAATAGGTGGTTGAAATACAATTGTCAAATTATATATAAAATATTTTAATAATTAATATATGTATTTAGAATAGTTATTCTATTTTTATCAGAGTGGCGATAATTATTTTCATTTGAAAATTCTTATTTTTTTTCATAAGTAAATGAAAATTTTATTACCAATAAAAAAAATTGCAGTGAAGGAGGCTAAAGAAGTTCTAAAGCTGAAGAGAAAAATCTAAGAACACTCTTACATCTCATTACGAGAAATAATCAAATGAATATTTCTAGCAAATTTTTTATCATAAAATATGGGTTCTCAATATTTTATTTTAGTTAATATTCACACATTTCTTTTAAAAAAATTTGCACTAAAAAATAGTCAAAACTTAAACTTAATGCGCGCAGTCCAAGGGACAATTTCGAACTTCTCATTGTTTGATGGATGGATGGATTAATATTAGTATCTATAAATTTTTTTACACATATTTTGAAATAGTTGTTTGTTGGTGATTACGAATATACTGTGTATATATATATATATGTTCCTGACAATAAATTAAAAATGGACCAAATTTATATATATAAAAAAATCACACATTGTGTATTAAGTATTATGCTTTCTCCTTTATAACTCAGTACTTTTATCATTGGATGGTGAGGAGGCCCCGGATGACATGGGCCAGGTCTGACTCGCAAAACACAACCTTCAGTCCGAGCAGCTGGGTCAGCCCATAGAAAGACACTGCCATATGGGCCGAGCGGGAGTAAGCCCATCAAGGGTGACCAGGGCTTACAGAGGAATAGGCCCAGGTCAAGGGTGACCAGGGCTTACAGAGGAATAGGCCCAGGTCCAGCAATTAGTAAATATCTTGTAAATATCTTGTAAATATCTTGTAAGTGTCTATAAATAGGAGTTGGAATGAAGAGGAGAGGGATCTTTTCGGGTTGAGGTGTAAGAATTCTAGAGAGAGAAAGAATAGAAGGAGTTTCTTGCATCTTCAATTGGCGCCGTCTGTGGGAAACGCATGAAAGTTTGGTTGATCAATGAGGAGTATCGAATGGATTCAAACCAATTCGGTTGATCGAGACTCGATCTTGCGGATTTGAATCCAGATCTGAGCGATTGTGACCTACTCTGGAGGAATTACGATTCTTGAAGCTTTGGCAGGAGTGACTTCAGATCTACGCAACCACGAGTTGCTCGATTGTGGCAGGATCTGACGGATTTAGAGTTTAGACAATTCAGATCTTGTAAACAGTGAGCATAATTCGGAGAATTAGAAGCCAGATCTAAAAATTCCTACTCACGAAGCTCAGATCTACTCGCGAACTTGAGATTAATGCCTTTACTCCGTTCGGGAATAATGATAGGTGAAAGCTCCAATCCGATGGAGGCTGTCCAGCAAACAAAGCTTGAAGAGTTGATGAACTTGATTGAAGCTCTCAGAAAAGAAAATGCAGAATTGAAAGCTGGACTGCAGCATCGGCAAATACCTGCGGTTTCGCATCCACTTCCGGTCGGAGAAGGAGGTGTTCCATCTAATATCGCGCATCAAGGCGATCAGGACGAGAACAATCAGTCAGCTCACCACCGTGACGAAAGGATGATGGACAATTTGCCGCCAAATGTTCGTCGAGTTGAAGATCACGAAGGATCGACTCGCGTTGATCCGCAGCGGGAAAGGTTTGACCGAGAGGAAGTGATGGAGGTTGATCGCCGTCGAGTAGCGTCGCCTTGGCAAAGAGAGTTCATAGAGGAATGGTCGTTCGATCCGTCTTACCGGCCCTCCATGGTTACTGTCACTCATCACGGTTCGGAGGGCAGAACCGTAACTCACAGAGCTACCGCTGGACTCCAGAGAGAGAATGAAGCTCTCCGATCCGCGGCTCGGACGGTGGATTCACCATTCACCGACGAGATCTTGAATGCGCCGCATCCAAGGAAGTTTGCTATGCCAGTCTTTATTCTGTTTGACGGAACGACCGATCCGATCGATCATGTGTATCATATCCAGTTGAAAATGGCCCTGAATACGGAAAACGACTCTTTAATGTGCAAATGTTTCCCTACAAGCCTGGCCGGACCGGCGCTCAGCTGGTTCAAAAACTTGCCTAGGAGCTCCATTGGCAGTTTCAGAGACCTGTGCGATCGGTTCATAAGTCAGTACTATGGGAACAAACGCCCGCCGAAGGACATCTCGAGCCTCTTCACGATGCGGCAGCACAAGGATGAACGTCTCCAGGCCTTTCTTACCAGGTTTAATCTCACTAAGAGTATGGTGATCGAATGCCACCCTTCTACGGCAGTTCAAGCCTTCAAGTTAGCCATGACACGCGGAACTCCCTTTCACACCAGTCTGGTAGTGAACACGCCGGCTACCATGGATGAACTCAATGAGAGAGCCGATGGCTTTGTGCGCCTCGAAGAAGAGGAGGCAGCTAATGCTCGGACAACGTCGCTTGTGTCGACCGAGGAGAAGTCCAAGGCAAAGATCAGGCAGAAGCAGGCTCAGCCACAACGTCAGACCACTTGGAAGGCCGAAAAAAGGTCCAGGGAGGAAGAGTTGATTACTCCGCTGAAGGTCACTCTGGCAAGGCTGTATCAGAAGAACAAGGACAAGTTTCATCCACCACTGCCAATTAGACAACCCCTCGAGCAGAGGGATCAAACTAAACATTGTGCTTTTCATTCTGATTTCGGACATCAGACTAACGAATGCAGGAACCTGAGGAGGCAAGTGGAGATGTTGATAGCTAAAGGGGAGTTTGCGAGTTATGTTCAAGGCTCGGCGATGGAGCAGAATCGACCAGTGGAACAAATAAAAAGGAGTCATAAACAAAGCTCCCACAATTCGCAACCAGTTCGTATAATCAATGTTATCCATGGTCGACCCGAGCCTAGTGAAGAGTCAGATGAGCTGCTACGGGTGCGCCTGCGGCAGGCGCAGATGAAGAAAAGGGTCGGCAATGTGTCCACTCTACACCAGCAGAGCCCGTCAATGCAGATAAAGTTCGACTGGACAGACCTGCAGCGTGTTCAACTGCCTCATGACGACCCGTTGGTAGTCAGTTTGACAGTGGCAGATTGCTTGGTGCGCAGAGTTCTGATCGATCCTGGGAGCAGTGCGAATGTTATGCCGAGGGACACATTTGACAGGCTCGACATTAAACCAGAGAGGCTCAAGCCCACCGGAAATCCCTTATTAGGGTTCGATGGGAAGAGGGTGGAACCCGTCGGGATGGTGGAAGTAGAAGTTCAAGCTGCAGAACGAGCGCTTATGGAAACTTTTGTGGTTGTGGAAATTCACCCCTCGTATAATCTCCTGATGGGAAGAGGATGGATTCACAGAGTCCGGGGTGTACCCTCAACTCTGCATCAGGTCATGAGGTGCCTCGGGCCCGATGGGGATAGAGTAATAGACATTCGGGGGGATCAGGTCGCAGCCAAAGAGTGTTATTCCGTCACACTAAAGCATGCTGGGAAAGGAAAGGCGCCCGTCCGTTCGACAAGCCCCAGATAGCAATTACAGAAACCTCCGCCTGAACAGAATAGGGTGGAGGAGTCAGTCGACTTGACCGAGGAGCCCCTTCTGGATGTGCAGATCGATCAGTCCAGGCCAGAACGAACTGCCAGAGTAGGTATAAGACTGACCAGAGAAGAGCGGCAAGAGCTAGTGGATTTTTTGTCCTACAATGTCGACGTATTCGCATGGAGTCACCTAGACATGCCTGGAATTAGTCCTTCCGTATCCTGTCATTCCCTGAATGTCAATCCCAGTTTCAAACCAGTGAAACAGAAGCAGCGAAGATTTGCTCCAGAACGTAATCAGATCATAGCGGAAGAAGTCGATAGGCTGCTTGATGCGGGATTTATCAGAGAGGTGCACTACCCTGAATGGTTGTCCAACGTCGTTGTAGTGCAGAAGAAAAATGGGAAATGGCGAGTATGCATTGATTTCACCAATTTGAACAAAGCCTGCCCGAAGGACAGCTTCCCGCTTCCTAAGATTGATCAAATGGTGGATGCCACCACTGGGTATGAGCGTTTGACCTTTCTGGACGCATATTCAGGTTATAATCAGATTCCTATGGACCCCGCAGATGA